ACAGAGAAGACAAGTAGTGATTCTACAGCATCTTACTACACTGATGGACAGTGACTGTAATGGGGTATGTGGGGGGGACTTGATAATGGGGGGAATCTAGTAACCACAATGTTGCTCATGTGACTGTATATTAATGATAGCAAAAAAATAAGTGGTGCATATACGCAATGGGATATTATTCAGCCATAAAGAAGAATGAAATCTTGTCATTTGTGACAACATGGATGGTAGCTTTCCATGGTGGCTGCAACAACTTCCATTCCCACCAACAGTGTGGGAGGGCTTCCTTTTCGCCACATTCTCTCCAACACTTGTTACTTTGTGACTTGGTGATATTAGCCATTATGACTGGTGTGACGTGTGATCTCACTGTGGTGATGAGTGATGTGGAGCATCTTTTTATATACCTGTTGGCCATCTGTGTGTCTTCTGTGGAGAAATGTCTATTTAAGTCCTTTGCCCTCTTTTTACTTATTTGTTTGTTTGTTATTGAGTTTTAGGAGTTCCTTATGTATTTTGGACATTAACCCTCATCAAATAAATGGTTTGAAAATATTTTCTCCCATTCCATAGGCTGCCTTTTCATTTTGTTGATGGTTTCCTGTACTGTGCAGAAGCTTTTTAGTTTGATATAATCCCACTTGTTTGTTTTCCTTGCCTGGGGAGATGTATCCAGAAAAAAAAATTGCTAATGCTGGTGTCCAAGAGTTTACTGCCTATATTTTCTTCTGGGAGTTTATTTAGGTCGCCAGTGCATTTCGAGTTCATTTTTGTGTATGGTACAAGACAGGGATCCAGTTTCATTCTTTTGCATGTAGCTGTCCAGTTTCCCAACACCATTTATTGAAACGACTCCTTCATTGTCGTTACCATAACGGCAAGTTAGCACAAATGGCTGCTGTGATTACCAAGTGAACTTGCAATATACTAGGCTGGGCTATCTTGGGAAGCATCTGCCTGGCTACACTGACAAGGCTGTAGTTTCCTTCCAACTTGGCCTCCTTGGCAGATGGCCTCAGATGGGTGTGGTGGGTAGTTTAGTGGAATGCTTATCTAGAAGGGAAGCTGTCTGCTTTCTTTGCTGCACTTGTGGAGAGGACTGTGGGTGGGCAAGACCTTCAGTTTTCCCTAATACAGGCAGAGTCCATGGGAAATGGACCTAAGCGGGGGGATGTGCACGTGCAGCCCAGGCCAAGGACCAACATGTCCAGCTTCCCAGGCAGAGCTGGACCCGCAAAGGTACCTGGCCCCACCCTCCCCTCCTGGCCTCCTTGGGACAGCTACACCTTGCCCCACTTAAAGGACCCCTGCAGCAGGGGCTGAGTCCTGTGGATGGCTAAAAACAAAGAGATGAAAATTGGGAACCTTTGTAGACATGCATCCAAACTGAACAGATTATATACATTAATTATGTGCAGTTTTTTGTTCACCAATTATATCTCAATAAAGCTGGGGGGAAAGATAAAGTAAAATTAAGATTTAAATTTAATTTGAAATAATATAAAAAGAGAGGTGCCTGGAATGCCATCCAGGAGACAAGAAGTAAGGAGCAGGGCCAGAACAGAAACAAGTTAACAAACAATGGAAGAAAACCTCCTCGGTGGGCATGTCAAGCTCCAAACCAGATTGCTCGACCTGAGCACTGCCTGGCAAACATTCCCAAATTCCCAGGATAATGGGAACATCTTAGAAGCTTCCAAATGGAAGGAACCAGCCACAGCAGAAATGGATCTGAGGGGGCCAACTCCCCAGGCAGCTGGGGAAGCTGGCAGCTGGGGAAATGTCTGCAGGCCAGGGGGCCCGTGCACCCTATTCCTAGCCAGTCACTCACCCAGCAGGGAAAGGAGAGTGAGAATTCAGAAACCACCTCCTAGAAGAAAAGCTCCTGGGCCACATAGAGCAGAGGCCTCAGGAAAGAAGGAGACAAAAGGAAGCAGTGGTGGGCAGTCCCCTTACAAACTGAGCAGTTCAGGGTCAGTGGGTGGCAGCAGGGGGGCCAGCAGGCACTCTGCAAGCAGTCAGTGTACATTCGCGTATATTAAGCAATGAGGTAAAGCCCAGAGAACAGAGCTGGTGCACCTGTCATGGTGCAGGTTCATTTTCCGTGTCAACTTGGCTAGGCTATGGTAACCAGTTTGTGCTCAAACAGTGGTCTAGATGTTACTGGAAAGGGACTTTTTAGATGATACTGACATTGAAATCGGTAGACTTTGAGTGAAGCAGATGAGCCTCCATCATGTGGGTGGGTCTCATCCAGCTGCTTGAAGCCTTATGAAAGAAAGACCAAGGGCATTGAAGAGGAAGGAATTCAGCCCCTAGATGCCTTTGGACTCAAACTGCAACACTTTCCCAGGCCCACCTTTCAGATTTCGGACTTGCCAGCCGCCACAATCATATGAACCCATTCCTTATCTAAATATCCTACTGGCTGTTTCTCAGGCAAACCCTGATTCGTGCAGTCATACATCTGTGAGCACAAACACTCAGTGACTACATGCAAGACATGTTAAATGTTCAGGAATTTTGAGAACTGATTGAAAGACCACCATTATTAAAAATTAAATTATAGAAACTTCCGCTTAAATAAATGATATTAAGCACAAAGGAGAGAACTCAAAATTCATCACATCTTATTTATGTTTTGACACCCACCTTACTGCATCCACCCGGCGGGAATCTGTGTCAGTGTTCAATGATGTCACATGGATAGCCTGAAATTGGCCTGCTAGAAGTATTCACACCTTGGGAACCAGCATATGCTATAAACCAGGGCTGGATCTATCATTGTTTGAATGACTTGAGTCTATAGTTATTACACTGTGAATAGCCAAAAAAAAAATAGGAAATACTTTTCCAATATCAAAAACTATGATTCAAATCACCAAAGGAGCTTCTCATGTCACCAATGAATGTGTGAAGTTCCCACATATATCTTTGTAGTTTCACTTTCATCTTACTCATTAAGATAAATGAAAATATCAACCAACAATTATGTGGGAACCACACAATTTCTCAGTTGCAGTTATGGGTCAGGCACAGATACAAGATACAAGAGTTCAGCAAAAGTCAGTTCAAAGGTTTTGTGAAAATCAACTGGCTGTATGGAATTTATAAACAGTGTGGTATATGTTTTATTGTGCATTTCACATATGTTGTTGATTTTATTACTTGTAAATTGTGTGCTCAATTTTACTTTCTATCAGTAAAATTACTAACTTATATGTGTGTTGTATGTATGCCTGAAATAGATACACACACACATGTTGGAGTACGTTGGCTTTCCTGGAAAGCTGTTGTCACCTGTTTATCAGCACATTGGCACTTTTTCAGGCAGCAGCAGGGCAGGCCCCAGCCTGTCCACACAGCTCAGAAGGCACAAACCTTGGCCTGGCGAGTCTGAGCATGAGCTCAGGGAGGGCACCTGAGGCCAGGCCACCGTGAGGCCAGGGAGAGGGCGCAAAACTGGACACCACTCTGGACAGATCGGGCTGGGGACCCACCGCCCTGGGGACCTGGAGTCAAACCACCCCTCTGGCTTGCCTGCAGATGAGAAGTGAGCCCCTTGGCACCACCCACTTAGCAAGCCAGTGGCCTGGAGCCCAGCCAGCCCGATGAAGGGACCTGGCCCTGCCTGGGAACCAGGCATCTGAGGGGCCCTGGCTGCCTTGATCCTCAGGCTCCACCTCCCCCTGCCTTTCAGCTCCTGCCCAATGCAGGCTCCCGGACTGAGGGCCCACCCTGGGCCAGCCTGGTGGCACTCTCCCAGCAGGGTGCCCACCACCCCTCCTCAGGAAGCTCATTGGTGCACAGACCAGACTCCCACACAAGCCTCCTGGCAGTCCTCCTCTTACCACGGGCCCTCCCCAACTCCTGCCATTCTGTCCTTAGCCAGGCCAGTAGCTCTGCTTCTGGCAGGGCTCCACCCCTTTGCTCCTCTCTCCCTAGGCTACTGTCTACCCCTGCAGGCCAGCTCTAGTCCATTTGCCACACAGAAGCCTTAGAGGTTTTGTAAAAACGTAAATCATATTTTGCCCCTCCACTGCATACAACACTCCATGGCTCCCTATTGCCCTCAGGGTCATTCTAGACTCCCTGGCCCAGGGAATGAGGATGGCCTTAGGTGGCTACCACTCTGCCACCATGCACAGTGCAGTGGTTCTAGTCACTCTGACCTACTTAGGGTTCCCTGAAGGGGCCCAGCAGGCTCAAGGCTCAAGGTTTTACTCATGCCAGTCACTCTCAGGTGTGGCTGCCCCGCCCACCCCACCCCTTGTCACCTGTTCTCCCAGACATCCCGCCCCTGCCTTGTCCTATTGTTTGGTGATAGAGGTGGCTGCTGAGAAGCTGCCCTCCCCGCAGAGCAGCCTCCTGGCCCTCCTTGGTGAAGTCACAAGAGACACGGGGCCCAGGTCAGATTCCTTCCTGGGTCCCCCACTGCACCTGCTACTGCACCTGTCCTCCGAGCTAAAGATCAGCCTGGAGCCCCCATGGTACCCTCACCCCTCACACTCCAGTGGGCCCTCCTGTTGCTTGACCAGCACATTTAAGGACAATTTCGCCATACCTGCATGTGGCTGGGGCACCTCCCTTTTTCCCCCACTCTGAGGGTGCCAGGCCCCATGCTGCTGTGCATGCCTATCTACCATTTCATCCCATCGCCACTTTGAGAGCAGGCATGGGGGCTCTGGGAGAGAAAGGAGTTGGCTTAGGGTCCTGTAGGGGGCAGGTACTAGAGTTGAGGAAGCCCAGGTAGCTCCCTTAAGGCCGTTTATGGATTTCCTGTGCGTCTGGTAAGGCAGGAAGGGGTCCTGTGGCTCAGACTCCACAGCCGCAGCCTGCCGGCCCCTTGGCCCAGTCTGTAAGCACTGCCATCTTCCCCACCCACCCACCCACTGGGCACACCACACGGGAAGGCCACAAGGGGCCGGTCCTGGGGGCTCTGGTCTGGCCCCTGGCCTGGCTACCTGTCTGCCCAGTCTGCGCAAGGCAATGTCAGCGGGTGCGCACTCGTCAGTGTTTATTGAGAGACGGGGGAGGGGTGGGAGCCTCCACTGAAGCACAGGCCAGAGCAGCGGGGTTAGTTAGGCCGGGGCCCAGGGCTGGCCGGCTAAGGGGAGCCTGGCCGAATGCTCAAGGCTGACGCTGCCTGTGGTGCAGCGGACGGGCCTTATCCCCCTGGGTGGTGGTGTCAGAGTCCCCTGGCACTCAGGCCTCAATGCTCAGGTCATCAGGCGGCGTGTACATGGGCTCAATGTGGGCCCAGCTTCGGGCCTGCTCATCAGCCCAGACGAGCAGCTCAGAGGCACGATGCAGGAAAACCATGAGCAGGGAGCGCACATCTCCCTCGGCCGAGTGCGCCGCACTCGGCTCCGCCTGGAAGTAGCGGCGGAAGAGGCTGCCCAGGCTGTAACCCTTGTAGCCCTGGGCCCGGGTGCCATGGCTGTGGGCACGGTCCAGGCCCCGCAGCGCAGGCAGCGTGTCCAGGCAGATGGTGTCCCGGGGCAGGTGGGCGCCCAGGTGCTTCAGCTCTGCACATAGCAAAGGAAAGTCATAATCGAAGCCGTTGTGGGCCACTAGGCAGATGGGGCGCTCCTGGCGGCTCAGGAAGGCCTGCAGCGTTCGCACCACAGCGCCGTTGAAGGTGGCCTTCTGGCATCGTGCCAGACACTCACTGCTCAGGCCGGTTATCTCGCTGGCCCTAGCAGTGAATGGGCGCTCTGGGCTCATGCACAGCGTGAGCTTGTCCAGGACCCGGGGCAGCACAGGGGCACCAGATTCATCATACTCTGGGCTCTCCAAGGAGGAGCGGTGGACAGCGAACAGGGATAGCTCGGCGATCTCAGGGTTTGTATTGGGGAGCCCAGTGGCTTCCAGGTCCAGGAAGACAAAGGTCTTGGCCTGGGGTGACTCAGACATCTCACAGGGACAGCGAAGCCTAAAGCTGCCAGAGCAAGAGAACAAGACCTAAAGGAATGAGAATACCTGGGCCCGGCCACCTGCAGCCATCCCCACAGCCAAGGCTCCACCCTCTCTGGGTTTATTTCCCACCACCCCATGATCAGGGCATCACTTCTGTCCAGGATGAGGCCCCATAGGGGCACATCACTGGCTGTTCTGTCCCCTGGCCCGTCCCTGACCATCCCTAATACCACCACCTAGTAAGCAGCCCTGTCAGTACCTTCACCTAGACACCCTGGCTGGGAGCCTCAGGCAGAGCACCCTGCTCTGCACCCCTGTGGCTGGCTGCCGGGAAGCAGGCAAGCAGGCACCTGGGAAGGCTCTCACGGTGATCCCAAGCCTCACTGGCAGCGCCTCCCATGGCCTTCTCCCTGGCACTCCGCCTGCCTCCAGGCTCCCAGCCGCCGTCGTCGCAGGCTTACCTGGGGCAGGCGTGCGCTGGCGTCCTCGGCTGCTAGGCACCTGTCCCTGCACGGGCTGCTCCAGGCAGCCTTTAATCAGCGCCCACAGCCCGCCCCCAGCCACCGGTTGGGCAACAAGGAGGCCTAAGACCGCAGGACCTGCACAGCCGGCTCACCGCCCGGGTCGTGACTAGCGCCAGGGGCTCTGGCGGTCAGGGCGGGAGGGGGCCGGTGCCCAGCTCCCAGGAGCCTCCTGCTCTAGTCACTCACGGCCACTGGGACACACGCCCTGTATGCAGACCGGAAAGCAGAATCTTGGGCGTGACTGTGGACTTGAGGAACAAGTCACCCCAGGCCCGAGGAGGAAAGCCAAGCCTTCCGCCCAGCCCTGCCTCCAAGTGCAACCAGCCAGGCAGCAGCAGCTGGGCCTGGCCCACCTGAGTTCAACACCCAGCCCCATGCCGGGGGTCCTCCTGTGACGACAGTGAGTCCCCTTCTCCAGGGCGCAGTTCCCACCACAGGAGCCCAGGCTGCCCCTCGTGGGGCCATGAAAGGGAAGGATCTCATTGTCATCCCGGTGACAGGGGGACGGGCAGTCTCAAGGCGGCCCTCACACAGTCTGGCTGCAGTGCACCCACCCTGCAGGCTCAGCTTCCACCACGAAGTGGAGATGGTACCTGCTACATGGGCATAACGACGCATATCTAAGGGGCCTTTAGCAGAGGCTGCAAGGAAGGAGGAAAGGAGGTGATCGAGGCCTGGCATGGCGAGTCCTGTGGGCTTCTGCTGAGCCAATCCTTCCCCTCAGAAGAATGAGCAATGAGAGAAAACAGGGTAGGGGACTGCCCCGGTGGCACCCACAGCCCCCCCAGGACCACTGGAGCAGGGGTGAAGCCCAGCCCTTCAGAGCTCACTCCAGAGCAAGGTGCGCCAGCACTCAGGCGCAGGCCCACGCAGACCCAGCCTCCTGCCGGAGCACAGGAAGGCGAGCCACATGCTGGTTGTGGCCTGCCCGCTGCAGGCCTTCGGGAGGCCCCTGGCTTGTGAAGCTGTGAATGTAGCTGGGCAGGGGTGGCTATGGGCCTGCTTGTCCTCCCACCTCCCACAACAGCCATCTGCAGAATGCCACAGGTGGGCGACTAGTGCCAGAGGCTCTGGCAGTCAGGGCGGGAGGGGGCCTGGTGCCCAGCTCCCAGGAGCCTCCTGGTCTAGAGCACCCACAGGGAACTTGCGGAAGTGGAGGTGCAGGTGCAGGGAGCAGAGCAGAGTGGTGCAAGTGAGGCTGGCAGCCACTGGGCCTCCACCACACACCGCGTGTAGGGGAGGCCCCTGTCGCTGGGCTGAGGGGGGCGGGGTCACCACCAGTGGTTCCTGTTTCTGTGCTTGGAGGGAGGGAGGTGGCTGTGACAGGTGCACTGCTCAGCAAGATACTGGGTCACCCTGGGAAGCCCAGAGAGCAGCTTCCTGGACAATCAGCTTCCTGGACAACCAGTCAGGCCACTGGCAAGAATTCCCCAGGCCAGTGCTAGGTGCCCTGGGAAGGAGGAGGAAACACACGGCCCACCCACCAGATCCCAGATGCAGTGGGTGCCAGCAGCTGGGCAAGAGGCCGGAAGTACTGTTCATGGGGGACCCTAAGGCCAGTCACCGAGGAGGAGGCACAAGGTTGGGGGCAGGCTCTGGTCCCATGGAGCCAGGTGCCTTGGAGAGACAGAAATTTTCAGGGCTTGGCATTGCCGAGCTTAAGTGGGCAGTGGCAGGAGAAGAAACAGAAGCAACAGGAGCTGGTACAAGACGGCGAGTACCCAGAGCAGGCAGGGCACGGGAGCGTCACAGCCCAGGCCCCTGTTCAGCAGGAAGGTCACAGTCAGACAGGGGCCAGGACTCAGGGTGGGAAGTGAGGACTGAGCACTCGGGCACGGGGCCACGTCAGCGCAGGCCAGACAGCACACAGGACACAGTCACGCACAGCCAGGGAGGCCAACAGGCTAGAGGCCGCTTCTTATAATGTGAGGTCCCCTTCGTCCTTTCCCCTCCCAAACTGCTGGGCACTGGGACCCTGTGCCCCCGAGAACACAGCGGCTGTAACTGCTGCCTCTGTGGATGGTGCTGCCCTCCTGGCTGCCTGCGTCTTCAGGGCGGAGCTTCGTGCTCTGACTACTCCGTGCCTTTGTGCAGACTGTCATTGAGGATCTTGTATTTCTGGGTTAGTTCCTCCATTTTGGTGACTGCAGAGAAAAAAATGTGAACAGAAAATTGACTCTAACACCTCCCAGCCCAGAAGAGGCACCCCCCTCCTGCAACGCCCCCAGCCAGGCCCGTGTCCTTCGCTGGCTCTCCTCGGGCCTGACCACCTCCAGGGCCCCGTCACTGGGAACTGCCCACGGGGTTGGGCCTCTTGGTTGCTCATCTTCATCCTCAGTGTGTTCATCTGTCTCTTTTCTTTCTGTTCTTAGATTTGCTGCTTCATTTTGTTTTCTACTCTTCCTGTTATTTTTTCAGCACTCTGGCAACCATTTTTATCTTCTAAGAGCATTTGCTTGTTTTTCTAGGTACATTTCAACGTGATACTGACTAGGTCAATTCAAATGTGTTGGAAAGTTCTTGCTTAATGGCCCATTGGCTCTGCTTTTCCAGGTCCTCCTCGTCCACAGTGCTGGGCTGGACTGGACAGAGGCCTGGGCAGCTGGTGCACTAGCCCCACTCAGCTCTGGTGCAGTTGCCCATTTCCCCTGCAGGAAGCTTGTGGGGGGCAGGACAGGTGGGGCAGGCAGGGACCAGCCCCCACGCCAGCGGCCCTCAGAAACCAGAAAGAGGTGGGCTTTATGTGCGTGGGCCACCAGCCAAGGCAAAAGCCTGGATTTACCATTCATTTCAATCAGTTTCTTCACAAAAGAGCAGGCTAGGATCTCACTAGGTGCACCAATCTGTACAGAACTGCTTTGCTGGTGCCCTCTGCTTCTGACCCACTCACCACTGCCCGCTCCCTGGGGCTGCTGGCCACCCAGCCCTGGGACTGTGGCAGTTCCACCACGCAGGCTGGCTCCTCAGGCTGTCCTCTAGGTCGCTGTTTTCTCTACCCACTGCATCCATCAAATTGCTCCCATCCACTTCCTACTTCCAGAAACCTGTTACCATCTCTCCCCCTTGGTGCTGTCAACTCCCCTCCCTTGCTCTAAGCACTGAGAGGCTTACTTTGTTTTCAAAATGCATGGATATGTTCTTGGCACTGGGGTCTCTGGAGGCGTGGGAGGCAAACGGGGCTTCAGATCCACCCAACTGAGATAGTGACTGGTGAATGACGATGGGACAAGCTGCCCACCCATGTCACCAGAGCTCTCCCCAGGCACACAAGGCCAAGGCTGCAGGCACAGGCCCCAGCAGACACACCTGGGCCCCTGTCCGCAGATATGGGGCCGCACAAGCAACATAGCCTGGCTACGGGCAGCCAGATTGGCGGCCTAGCTTCTTCTAGCAGGAAGGAAATAGCACAGACAGATAGACCCTCCACAGTCAGAAGGCCTGTGTCATGGAGACAAGATAGGACCCTTAGCATGGAGCTGGCGTGGACCACTTCCCCGGCATGTCTATAGCCCAAGAACTCATCTCAAACAAAACGGAGAAGCTGCATTCACAAGAGCTGAGCTTGAGGGCTGGACAGGCCAGCTCCCCACCAACCCAGTGCTGTCCCCTGCAAGTGGGAGGCAGGCCCACCCTTGGGCACAATATTTTCCCTCACGATCATGCAGACCCCCTGAGGGAAGGCAGAGCTTCTCTGCAAGCACCGCACAGAGAGGGAGGTGGGGGTAGGGTGGGGGAGGAGGGACACCGAGGGAGGGACTGCACAGTGTAGATATCAGAGCACCTGTGATCACAGGTAACATGGCACATGGTGAAGAACACTAATGATCATTATATTAATGAAAGTATGGATTGTAAGCATTTTATGAACAGCACATTATATACACTGGAGGTGAGAGTCACTGTGACAGTGGTGATTAGGATAAACATTATGATAAAATTTTTAAATGGAGGACTCTGTTGCGGTTCAGTCAGAAAGAAGAGAAACTCCTGAGTGCCCCGTAATATGTGCCAAGTGTGCATATGAAGGCCAAGAGCAGTGAGCAGGCCAGCTGCCCAACAGCAGGCTGGCTGGCAGAAGGGTTCATGCAGAGGAAGGGCTCAGAGTCTGTGTGACCTAAAGCCAATCCTTATGGACGCACTGGGGGTGCACTCTTAGAGGCAGACGCTTTAGTCACTGCTGCCTGAGGCAGTGGATCGGAGCTCAGCAGGGACAGGCTGGGGACTGAGACGTCCACAAGGGCTTTGGGAAGCTCTGACAGTCCTGGGAATCTAGAAGGCCACGCACATGCCCAGGGCTGTGCAGAGGCCCAGGACACAGAGCATCTGGCCCACAGGGCCTAAAAAATGTAATATCTGCCCCTTGACAATAAAAGAAAAAAGTCTGCCTACCCCAGCTACATGGCAAAGAAAATGAACAAATCACTCACATGGCAGATGAATCTCATGGAAACATGATTCTCACTGACTCAGGACGGCAGTTGGCTGCATGCAGAAAGAGGCACGTGCGGAGTTTCTAGGGTGCTAAGCATGTTCCATTTCTTCACGTGTATCATGGTTATACAGGCCCTCACTTCAGAATCATGTGAACTGGCATAAAGGGGGTTTGCCAGAGCACAAGGAAAACGGCCAACCATTTCATGTTTCTACCCCTATGAGTTGAGACTCTTCCCTAAAGGCTATTTTTCTTAAAAATATATTTTTTTTAACTCTCTCTGAATGCATATTTCCATAATAAAAAAATTAACTTTCAGAAAAAAAAGTTAATGAAAACTAAATTCAGATACAATTTTGCCCCTTTCGAATGGATTAAATCTACAACTGATGAGGATACAGTAAGACGGAAACTGCATGGCCTTACAAACGATGATGAGCCTGGCCTTAGCACCACGCCACCAGGAGCCCCATGCAAAGGCCGTGATCTAAGATGGGGACACACTGTGCGTGAGAACATGCGCACTGCTTCCTTTTATGAAGATTGACAGTGTGGGGGGATTACTAAGGGACACATATTCACTAGGGGATAAATAGTAAAGGAACTGAAACAGCTCTGAACCCAACACAGAGAAAATCAGTATTCACATACTGGCTCACTTCCTGCAAGGGGCTCTTCTATATTTTTTTCCTTCAAAAACGTGAGATCATACTGTGTATTCCATTTTTAATCTGCATTTTTCCCTTTAACATTCTAGAACATGCATTCCCTCACGTCGTCGTAACCAACTTCTGAAACAACAAATACTATCCCGTCAAATATGTACCCAAGTGTTACTTATGCGAGCATTACCCAATGTTAAAACTTTGGATTATTTCCATTTTTCACTATTATAAATCCTGCAACAGCATTATACATAATAGCAAAAAAAATGAAAATGACCTACAGGCTCAGTAATAGGAAATGTTAAGCCAATTATAGCAAATGTCTGAATGGAAGTGTTTGACAATTTAAAAAGTCACTTTGAAAACATGGGAACATGCTTCTAATGAGGTCCTAGGGAAAGAGCATGATATATAAAAGCAAGCACATGTTGTGATTACACTTGACTTATACAAGGAAATAAAAAATGATGAGAGGAAAAAGAATAAAGGGAAATACATTAACACTGACCATCTCTGGGCCATCAGGTTACAGATGGCCCTCTGTATCCTTATTTTACCTCTGCCCATCTATGGGTTACCCAAATTTTCTACAATGAATGTTTTCATTTTATAATCCATTGAAAGAGAACTTTATGCATTAGAAAAAGAAGGAAGAACTAAGGGGACAGTCCCCAGACGCTCCCCAAATGCTGGGCAAGCAAGGAGGAGCCCACACATGAAGCCAGCACTAAGCCAAGGCACATTGGGACATCCCTGTTCCCGACTGCTGAGCAGGCAGCTACAGCTGCAGTGGCAACCACATACCTAAACTCATCAAGGCACTGTTACTGTCCCACCAGATCTGCTCGTCCTGCTGCTGCTTCGCCGTCTCCACAGGTCTCACCGACATGCCACTGACCTCCATAACTGCTTTCAACAGCTGGGAGGGAGGGGGAGGGCCACAGCGAGAGAAGGGGACATGTGGACATTAAATGCTGGTGGTCTGACCTACAGAAGGCACCTCCTGCTTCCCAGCCAGGTTCACACTGGGTATATGCTCTCCCCTAGGCCCTGGAGCATGTGGCATTCACCCCCAAGAACAGCCCAGATGAGGGCAGGACGGCCAGCGAGCTGGAGAATCCCCAAGCTAATCCCCTCCCTCCTGGCCCAGCAGGGATGCCGACCGCTCACAGCCCCAGCCCACACTGGTAGCTAAGCAAAGCTAAATGGTGCAAGGGGAAAAATCCATGTTCCAAGACAAACGGACAGTTCTGATGGGAGAGGACTGCACCCTAACTTGCCCTGTTGGCAGAATCGCAAAGAGCAGGTTGGTCAGAGGTTTGGAAGTCTAAAAGCCTTTCTGTTAAAGAGCCAAGACAAACAACATGGAAGCCCTGAGCCAATGCCAGACTTCCAACACGGCCACCGTACTCGTGACCATAACCAAACCCGGCATTTTAGGTCAGCCCCTGGGGATCTGAAATGCAGAATGACAACACGAGTAAATGCTTATGTAGTCGGCTCAGCAGTGTGAGACCACTTTTTCCCACGTCAGCTAGGTCAAAGGCGCAGACAAGCAAGCATCTGTCTGTCCGGCACACAGACGGGCCGTGACACATTTGCACATATCGGGAAGACAGAGTGAGACCAATACAGGGACAGAAGCTGGGGGCCAAGACGAGGGTCGCATATGGCCAACTACAACAAAGGGCTCCCCCAGGCTTAAGTGCTTGGCTCAGTTAACATTCCCATGAAGTTTAGTGGGGCCCTTGGAGCAGAGAGGGAGGTGGGGGGACAGGGGACACAGCCACATCAGCTCTCATCTCCTCCAGGGGAAACACCTGGCCTTGAAGGCCCCAGGCTGAGGGCCAGAGCCCAGAGCCCAGCCCCTCCCAGCCCGAGTGAACCCTTGGGTGCCTCGCTGGGGCCTGCGGGGCAGCTGGGAGGGAGGGGGACAGGGAGAGGAGAGGGCAATCCTTACTTGGCCACACGAAGTCAGAGTCTGGTGCACAGCCTGTACGATGGGGCCACACGGGTGGAGGTAGGGGCCTGGGTGCTGGCAGCACTCTCGCAGCTCATCATCATAGACTTGGAGGAAAGCCGCGACGAGCTGGTAGAAGTCAGAGATGACCAGGCGCAGCTTCTGCTCCAGGGCGGTGGTGTCAGCAGCACTTCCGGCAGCCCCTTGCGTGGGCTGCACAAAGTCCTGTAAAGCCAGAGGTGGAGGTTCACGCTGCCCTGCCTATCCTTGGGGCACAGGTCCCCTCCCCCCATCAGGGGACAGGCTCTGTTGGCCACCTCATGCTTTGAAAGACCAGGAAATATAAGACCAGAGGCATAAGAGAACCACTCGATTTCATGCAAGGTCACCCGACTTCCAGCCTCAGCCCTGCCACTGCTGCCAGTATGGGCCTGTCTCCTCCTTGGGCAAACCAGGAGGCCAGGCCACAGGGCTGCTAAGAGGGCCACACTCAAGAACACGTATGAAAGCCCTCAAGCTCAGGGCCTGGCACACAGCCCGTTTGAGGCTGATCATTTCCATACTTCAGAAAGCCTCTCCCCTTCAGGTGGGCTAAGAGCCCACCACATTCTAGAACCCACTGGGCTCTGCACACACTTAAACCTGTGTGGGCCGGAACCTCTGCCCATCTCACTTAAACCTCACAACATACTCATTTTAAAGACAGGCAGCCTGAGGTTAGGGGAGGTGATGTTCCCTGCCCTAGGACACAAAGCAAGGCCCCTCCAGCCAGGCCCTCACCCCCAAGCCCTGCAGCCCCCAGGAGCTGGCGTCCCTCACCTCCACTCTGAGCACCTGCAGTTTGGCAGCACTCTCCTGGAGGTGCCTGGCCAGCTCTGCCACCTTCACCTCCTCTGAGCCCACAGAGGGGCTGGCCCTGCAGGGAGAGAAGGGGGATGCTTCCAACTCCATGCCACTGTGGGCCACACAGAAGGGTCTGTCACAGCGGACCAAGTAGGGCACATACCTCTGCCAGTCATCACTCTGCTTGTTGAGGATGGGCTGCACGTCCAGGGGCCATGAGTCACACTCAGGGGTCAGGAGTGTCTGCGGGTGTGGACTGAAGACTGTCCCCAGCAGCACCTCATTCTTCTTCCTGGTGTCCCTGGAGGGCTCCTTCATGCTGCAAATGCAGCCCCCAAGGCCACACTGTCACCAGTGTGAGCACAGCCTCTATGGACCACGCCGGCTGTTTTCCCAAGGCCCCTGGGAGAGATCCAAGGGGTCTTGGCAGAGAGGCTGGTCCTCAAGAGCCCACCTGCCTGCAGAGATGCTCAAGTGCCCACCCTCCTCAGTGGGCCCGGCCCGTCTACTCCAAGGCCAGCACTGCACCTTTGTACCAATGGCCTGGCACTTGGCCAGTGTCCCTGGTTGGGGTGGTAGCCTGCCTTGCCTCATACCCCACAGGTCCTGGACCAGGATGCAGCTGCTGCCACCAGAGCCTGGAGTGAAACCCCAGCTGGAAATGCACCTTGTGGCGGGCCCAGGTGCCCAGCACGCTCCCTAATCACCCAGACCCAGATGGAGGATGGAGGACGCGCACTGGCCATTCTGCGGAGGGCCTGCCCTGAATCCTTACCTGGAGCATCCAGTGGTCAGGCTGTGGACTGCATCCAGCAGCTTGTCCATGAAGCGCAGCTGCTTCTGGGCACAGGCCTGGCCCTGGGCAGGGAAGGCCACATGCACTCACTGGCCTGGCATGCCAGGGACCTGCCCACACAGACACCCACCCTGCTGGGGCCACTGCAAAGGAGGGGCCTGGGATACTAGCTCCCTGTCCCTGCCCAGCAGTATTTTGGAGTGGTTCAGGGACCCTGGCCTCAGGGACTGTTGTCACTGAGTGATCCCTGTCCAAGCCCAGCCTTGGGCTGCAATGATGCCTGGGACCATGCTCTGGAAAGTGGCAAGGTATGGAGGGCACAGGGAGAAGTGGGAGGGCCATGAAGCTCCTGGTGGCATTTCAGGCCAGAGAGCCCTGGGTAGCGAGCTGTGGGGTCAGGGGCATGCTCTGCTAACATGTGCAGCTCAGCTCCCTGTCCATGGGCACTGGGCCACATGGCTAAAGCTGCCAGGCACTTCCCATGGGCCTGGATCCCAGCTGTGTGGCCATGTTGACAGAACCAGTGTCTCTGGAAGCTTCTGGCTTCTCCATCTCTATATCCTCAGCCTGCCACTGGCTGCCTGAGCCTTGTTACCACCTCTTATTGACTCATTTGCTCAATCTGCCCAAGTGACACTGAGCTCCAGTGACAACTTCAAGGGCAGCCCTGACAGAAACATGAGAGCAGCTGTCACTCAGGACCTCAAAAAGCCTTGACCAGTGGCCAGGACTGAGACACCCTGCCTGCCGTCCCCTCTCAGCACAGAACGGGCTCCAACAGCTTCCCCCGATGCCCGGAGAGGGGTATGCGCCCCTGCTCAGGGCTTTGCCAACCCAGGATGGGACTGGGAATGTGGCACTGGCCCCCGTGAGCAGTCCCAGCCTGTATCTCCCTGTGAGGTCCCTGGGCCACAGGCCTGGACCCTGGAGGTCCAAGCACACGCCACTTTGGGACTGTTCTGTTCTCACTTTGGCCTGGAGCACTCCTCTCCCAAGGATGCGATGCTCTTTTCTTTCGGCTATGCTAGAATTTTGTGTAGTGTGTGTATAATGCGTACACCATAAATCCACTCTCTTTCAGGGTACAGTTCAGGGGTTGTTAGGATAGTCACAGAGCTTGGCAGCCCCCAGCAGTGTAAATGGAGAGAAGGGTTCCCCGCCCTCTTGAGCTACGGGGTCAAACCCTATTACTGCCTCTTCCTCTCTGCCCTCCCACCTCTGTGATGTAGTCATGCAAGTAAGTGGTTTATGGCAGGATGGGTGCAAAGGCTGTGGAAACTGAGCTCACACTAGGACCACAGGCCAGAGAAGTGGGCAGAGCATGCAGCTTAAACCTAACCAGCCAAGTGCCTGCTAAAGCACAAATATCAACATTCTCCATAAACTTTAACAAGACCCAGAGTCAACATAATGGTCAAAATGTCAGGACACAATCCAAAATTACTCAGCACATGAAGAAAACCACAAAAATCTCAACTTGCATGAGAAAAGACAACCAACAGACACCAATGACAAGATGGCACAGATGCTGGAATTACCTGACAAATTTAAAGCAATCATTATAAAAATGCTGAATAAGTAGTCATGAACACTCTTGAAACAAAAGTTAATACAGAAAACATCAGCAAAGAAACAGATAATCTTTAAAAAAACAAACGCACAGAAACTTTTTAGAACAGAAAAATAGAATAACTGAAATTAAAAAACCAATGATGGACTCAACAGCAGAATGGAGGGAACGAAGGAAAGAGTCAGTGAACTTGAAAACAGGTTAACAAAAATTATCCAATATGAGTGACAGAGAGAAAAAAAGATTGAAAAAAATGTAAAAGCCTTAGGGACTTATAATACAATAATAAAAGGTCTAATATGTGTGTTATAGGAGGCCCAAAAGGAAAGGAGAAAAGTGTGTGGGCTGAAAATAAATTGAAAGGAATAATAGCAGGAAATTTCCCAAGTTTGGCAAAAGACACAAACTACCCAATTGGAAAGGCAGATGTAAAACTAGCTCTGTTTGCAGATGACATGATCTTGTATATAGAAAGGATTCCACTGAAAAACCATCAGAATTAATAAATAAATTTAGTAAGGTGGCAAGATACAAGAGCAATGTGCAAAAATCAACGGTATTTCCACATACTAGCAATGAACAAAAAATGAAATTCAGAAAACAATTACATTTATAATAGCACCATAAAAAATAAAATATTCAGTAATGGAATTAACAAAAGAAGTACAAGCCTTGCACACGGAAAGCTATAAAACGTCTTTGAAATAAAGGAAACCTAAAGAAATGAAAAGACAGCCCATGTTCATGGATAAGAAGACAACATAGTTGATGGCAATATTCCCCAAAGTGGTCTACGGATTCAATGCAATCTCCATCAAAACCCCAGTTGGCTTTTTGCAGAAATTGACAAGCTGATCCTAAAATTCACATGAAAATTCAAGGGACCCCCTAATAGCCAAAGCAATGTTTAAAAAGGGCAAAGTTGGAGGATTCACGTCACAGCTTATTACAAAGCTACAGCAACTGAGATAGTGTGGTACTGACACAAGGACATACATACAGATCAATCGAACAGAATGGAGAATCCAAAAATGAACCTTCACATTTACAATTAATTGATTTTCAAAAGGAACTCCAAGATAATTCAATGAGCAAAGAATGGTCATTTCAATAAATGGTGCTGGGACAACTGGACAGCCACAGGCAAAAGAATGGACTTGGACATATCCCTTCCATAAAACTAAGAATGAATCAAAGACCAAAACATAAGAGCTAAAACTATAAATGGTTAGAAGAAATCATAGGTGTCAATTTTCATGACTTTGGATTTGGCAATGGATTCTTAGGTATGACACTCAAAGCACATGCAACAAAAGTAAATAATGGACATCATCAAAACTAAAAGCTTTTGTGCTCCAAAGGACAAATCAAGGAAGTGAAAAGATGATCCATAGAATGGGAGAAAATATTTGTAAATTAAATATCTAATGTGACTTACATCCAGAATATATAAAGAATTCTTTCAGTAAAAAACAAATGACCCAATTAAAAAGTGGGCAAAAGAACTGAATACAGACATTTCTCCAAAGAAGATACACAAATGGCCAATAGGCACATGAAAAGATGCTCAACATCATTAGTCTTCAGGGAAATGCAAATGGAAACCACAATGCAATAGCCCTTCAAACCCACGAGGACAGCTGGAACCTGAAAGATGAACTGGAACAAGCACTGGTGAGGACGTGGAGAAACCGGAACCCTCCTCACAAATTGCTGGTGAGAATATGACATGGTACAGCCACTTTAGAAATAGCTTGGTGGTGCCTCAAAAAGTTAAATGCATAGTCACTACTGTGGCTCATCAATTCCACTCCGAGCTATATATGCAAGAGAACTGGAAAGCACGTCTCTAGTCAAAAACATACACAGGATGTTCATAGCAGCATTATTTATAAAAGCCAAAATATGGAAATGATTCTTTCAAAAAAACTTTTTATTTTAAGGGTAGGGGCAAGGTTTCTTTGATTGATGTGGGGGTGGATTAGGGCAGCCTGTCTAGAAACCCCCAGGTGGGCAGCTCAGGTGGGCGTGGGGCAGTGCATGGGCTAGGGAGCTCGGGGCCTGGGTTCGAGGCCAGGCTCCGTCACTCGGTAACTGAGCAAGTTGTTTGCCACCTCCCCTGTGAAATGAGGCTGTAGGACAAGTCCCTGCGGCCAAGGGCGGGTGTGACAATTACTGGCATGTAAAACCACTTATCATAGTGCCAGTGTGTATGAAGTCATCAACTGAGGACGGGATACACTCTCTGTCCCTTTGGTCATCATATGCCAGAGATCCACCTCGGTCTCCTCAGCCGCCCTCCCCCTCGGCCCTAAGGACGGTTGGCGTCTACCCAAGGGAATCCTACAGGTAGGTCCCTGCCCTGGGAGGCTAATCTTCTGGGCCTGAGGAGCAAAGGCCAGGGGAAGAAACCCCTCCCTTCCCCACCGTGGCCTGCAGGGACAGAAAGGGCCCTCTCTTACCTTCAGGAGCTCCTGGTCTTCCGGCCCACACAGCATCAGCTCATAGCATAGCTTCACCATCTCTGTCAGCACACAAAGACCCTGTTACTGCAGACATGCACCCAAACCAGAGACCACGCTGTGCACCCAAGGGGGTGCACAAACATACAGAGTGTGGAGTGCTTCCAGGAGAGGGTGCTCGTGCCCCAGTGTCAGCAGGCCTAGCAGACCCAGGTGGACAAGGAGGAAGATAGACAATATACACAGACGCCAGGACTGCCTCTTAGGAAAAGGTCAGAACTTGGAGCCAGAAAGCTTCAGGCCAATACCAGCTTCACACCCCCAACCTAGCTTTATGGCAACGCCCCTATCCCCTCACAGGCAAGGTCCATCTCATACCCCCCTTGTGTCTCAGGAGCAGAATAGGCATAACTCTGGCATCTGTTTTAGAAGATTTGGTGCAAGAAGCAAGCAGAGCACCCATATAAAAGCATTAGCAATCCTGGAGACACTACAAATGCCAGGTATACCACAAGCACACCTGCCCCACTCACGGTCCTTAACCCCAAATCCTCACGTCCCCCATGGCTCCTCTCTCGCTTGGCCCACATCTGAGCTTCAACAAGCCCAGCCGACCCTCCTTTCACTAAAAATCCAGGATCTGGCCAGTGATTCCCTCTCCACTGCCCCCATCTCTTGCCTGCATCACTGCAAGAGCCCCCCAGTGGTCTCCCTGCCTTTGCTGGTTCTCAGCTTACTGGCCCGAGGGACCTTGTTAAAGCCAAAGTCAGGTCACCTCCTTCCTCAGAATAAGAGCCAACATCCTTCCATGGCCCACAAGGCCCAGCCTGATCTGGCCCTGTTGCCTCTCTGACCTCACCCCACCTCTCTCCCCTTGCTCTCTACTCTGCACCAGCCACCTCCTCTCTGTTCCTCAAAGCTGCAAGGCACACACAAGCCTACCTCAGGCCCTTTGTACTTGCTGCTCTCTGGCCCTGAACACTATTCTTCTTGATATCTGCCTGGCTCCCTTTCTCCCTTTCTGCAAGTCTGTTTAAAGGAGAGGCCTTCCACGGCCATCTTACGTCAACAGCACTACCCTTCTCCCAAGCCCCCAGGCACCACTCTGCCCTCACCTGCCTTTATGGCACTTCCCACCACCCAATGCCCTGAGAATTCTGCTGCCTTCTTTATTTACCACCTGTCTCTCCCAGCTGGTATGTAAGCTCCATCAGAGCAGAACAATTCACTACTGCACTGCTAGCACCTAAAACATGCCTGGCATGCAGCAGGCACTCCACAAATACTTGTCAAATGAATTTGTGAATCTCCTAATCCTCACTGGAAGGTTGCAGTCTTTGACAAGCATTCATATCTACCACCTGCTCTGACACTCAGCACATTCCCACAAGTGGGCAAGGCTGAGGTTATCACCCCCACTTTACAGAAAAGGAGGCTGGGAATAGCAAGGTCGAGGCTGTGGCTGGGCTGAGGGCCAGCATTATCAACTGTGCATGGGTATTATACAATTCAGGTACAGTCTGATGACCAGGCTTGCCAGGCCTTGATATAATCCCATCAGTTGGAAAGTACCAGATATAACAGCCCCCATTTCAGCCTCTGGGACAACTGTCCCTGGATAATTAATACAGCAGTGAGAGCCAGGACATGGACTGGGGCTCCAGGGTCCAGCTCACCCACCTTGGAGTGGTCGGGCCAAATGCAGGCCCATGGAAAATTTGCCTTTTGGAGATGAACAGTTAGCCATCCTGAGGACTGCAATTTGCTCCCTTTTACCTAATGTTCATTACTGAGTTAAGGACAGCTCCTGCCAAGAAAGGATCGAAAAGCAGTGCTTACTAAGACAAGCCCCTATGACAAGCTGCCTGGAATGCTCCAAGTGATGCCACATGCAGCGTGCCCCTGCACACACTAGTGAGATGGGGACAGAACCACTGGTGGAGGGGCGGGCAAGGTGGTTCTCTCTTGGTCTCACTCACAAGCCCCTGTGAGAGGCACTCTCCCACTTAGCACACCCAGTATGTGTGTGTTGGGGCAGGGGTGCAGGGGGTGGGATTCTAAAAGGCTTTAGCAACATCTACAGTGTTTGCAGCATCCAGAAGAAAACATCAGTCCAATGGGAAATTCACTACAACTTGGAAGGAGGCCGTGCACAAGCTCAGAAGAGCCCAGGATCCGCCACCCAACTGCAGACCCCTACAACGCAGACCCACCTTGGACCTTCACCTCATCAGCTGGGGACCCCTCCAGTGAGCTGAACCTGTCCGGCCAGGAGGGACATACCCTGCAGGAAGAGAGCAAAGCCAGTCAGGCCTGAGCAGGCCACAGAGGCCCCCTCACAGCCCCTCCGTACACATGCTCTGAAAGGAGAATTACTTGTGCACGTGCTAAACGCCAATGAAATGTTCACTTTAAAAATGGATAATTTTATGGGATGTGTATTTCAACGCCATAAATTATCAGGGGAAAAAAAACAAAGTATTTCTGTAAGTTTACCCTCAGAAGTGTGCATTTGAATACTGAAATTAAAATTCTCACAATAATAAAACAAAATGACTGCCCAAAAGGAAAAACCTGGATCCTCAGAGCTCTAAGCTCTTTCTCAGAAGGCCCCTTCTGCTCTGGCTCCCAGCCCCACGTGCACACATGCGTCTGCTCCTCTCTGTGTGGAGCGCTTCCTTCCCACCCAGCGCAAGCAGGCCAAGTTAGCTCCAGCTCATCCCATGGAACCCGGGGAGAGTGGCGGATGGCCAGGCCATGCCCACAGCCATGTTGGCATCCCTCCATCACGGCAGGGTCTGGGCACCATCTGTCCATGAGGCTCTGACTATAGGCTCATAGAGGCCAGGACCTGGCTTTCCGATCTGTACTTCTGGGGCCTAACGCAGTGGTTCAGTACAAAAAGGCAGCCAGTGAGCATTAACGAATGAACAACGACGGCCTCTTGCCACGGGATAATCTTCCATTAGCAAATGCCCATGCTTAGCTCTTTCAACAGAAATACGTTTTCTGTTGTAAAAAAGCACAAATCCGAGGATGATTATGCTACTCCAAGATACACCTTTAAACCATCTGGGTGCTCCTAGTGTGATGGGCTCTGAGGTCAAAGCCCCAGACACCCCAGTGGGGAGACAGCAATCCCAGCTGTCCCCCTTGGCCTGATGGAGCCCTGGCCTTGACGACACCATACAGATAAATGGGAAAGTAGCCACTCATAAGCATCTCGCCGTAAGATGCCAAGCTGATGGGCAGAACTGTTTCTAGACACAAAATGCAACTAAAGGCAGTGAGGGCCGCAATATCCTCACAGGTGCCACAAGCAACACACAGCTCAGGCTTCTCACAGGGTGTCCTCTGTGAGGGGCATAGTCTGAGTGCTACGCCCCCAGTGCCAAGCTCAGCACAGCACTGAGGCCATGGGGAAGCCAACGCCCACATGCCAGGGAGCCCCAGGAGGTGGCCCCCACAGCTGGCCCTCCCTACGTAAAGATAGACAGGCTCTTTCCGCAGGATGGCGGGGGCCAGGCTCCACCCTGCCATCATGGTGTGGGCGCCCGGACCCCAGCCCTAGGGACCTGCTGGCTCAGTGTGGTAGGAGAGGACACGGTGGCTATTGTGCGGAGGGCTCACTGCTCCTTCCCTGGAGCAGTGCCTCCAAATGCCTGCATCCCAGGCCACATCTGCTCTGACCACAACCCAGCACCTCAGCCACGCCACCTGTCTTCAGGGCTCATTAAGGCAACCACCCGTTCGGCCAAAGAAGGCAGAGGCAGAAGGGCCGGAGGAGGAGCTGCCACCGCGGGAAGTGCCAGGAGACTGGCCCCTGGGCCCAGCTGTCAGGCAACATTCCCGCTCACAAGGCACCAAGGCGCAGAGCCACGCTCAGCAATCTGTCAGGCTGGGCCACAGGGCAACGGCTCCACACAAGAAAGAGCAAATCCACCAAAGCCGGAGGGCCCCAGCGCAGAAAGGGTGCGGGGCGGGGCCTACCACACTCAAGGCCTCGAAGCTGGGAGCCAAGAACACCCATGTGCCTTGAACTCAGCAACCCAGGGGGCCCTGCGGTTCCATCCTGCCCCACAGTGAGGCCTAGTTAGGCACACAGGCCACCAAGAGCCTCCACACTGAGCTCCCTGGCCAACGCTAGGCGCAATGTCCAGGTGTGCCCAGAGAGGAGTGAATAATGTAGCCCTAATTGAGGGCTGAAATGGTGAAACGATGTGCAAAAACAGCCAACATGAAATCTGGGGGAAACTGAACTCTACCTAATCTTCTTTTTGGGTCCTTGAAAGGCCTACAGCACTCAAGCCAGCTTGGGATCATAAAAAGCAATTATACATTTCCTGGCTGCTTCTGAAAAAGACATCTCTCCGTTGGTCTGTCCCCGCTTACCATTAGCTATCCCAAGCCAGGGGAAGGGGAGATGTGCTTTGCCCTAGGAATTGGAAACTTTGTAAAAGAAGACGGATTTGTGGCTGGGTCTTTGAAAGCTGCTGAGTAAATGTAACATGCAGAGACCTGAAGGGCATTTCAAGGAGGGAAAACAATGTAACAATATAAGAGCACACTGAGCTGAAGCCGGGAGGGCCTGCAGAAGGCCTTGGAAGGCAGCAAGAGAGGCTGTGGGAAAGCAGAGGCTCAAACATGAAAGTACCTCCTCCTTCCTCCCTACCATCCCTAGGACACCCAGCCCAGGGCCAGGCCTGCTGATGTGCTCTAGCCCGGCAGGTGCACCTGCTGGCTGCAGGCTGGATCCTTGCTGCACCAACACCAGGCTCCTGACCCAGGCATCTTCCTCAGCTGGGCCAGGCCAGGCAGAAGAGGGACAGGCCCAAGCCTGGCCTCATGAGAGTCCCGTACCGGGCTGACTACAGCCACTCCAGAGAGGGCCCTAGGGACAGGGCCACAGCACAGGAGCCGGTGCTCGGTGTGAGGCTTGGGCAAACCTTCCCCACTGTAGCCTCAAGATAAGACACTCAGCTCGGGGCTGTAGCTCCCATGGAACAGCCATTTTGTGGGACCTTCTGGATCTTTCCCCTTGCCAGCTGGGCAGGCTTTGCTTCCCTTGCACAGTGCCACTCACCCACACCAGGCTACACCCTGACCTGATGGAATGGGAAACGGGGTCTTGACCCCACTTGTCACTCCTCTGTGGTAAGACCTGAGGCTGTTCATGAATCCAGTTGACCCTCAGCTTCCCAGTCTAAAAACGCAAGGACCAAAAGTAGATCATTTCTCTGGTCCCTGTCAGCTCTGAAACTAGCAGTTAAAGCAAGAACCACCCTCAGAAGCCAAGCTCAGCACTTCAGGGGCACCTTGACCCCAATCTGAGCGTGGCTCCACAGCCCACACTTCTTACCTAAGCAGCTGCTCTCCCTGTGACCTGGGGTAGGGTATGGAGCCCTCCAGAAGGGCAGCTGCTTATAAAAATAACCAACCCCATCTTCCCCAGGTGGGTTGAGTGGCACCTGGTGTACCACAGGGATGGGGGGAAGAAACAAGGATGTTACCGTATGCACATCCACTCCAGGATTTCCAAGCGATACTTCGAAGGACTACACAGCAGTTCCCGAATGGTCTTTGGTTCTGTGATATAAAGACCCTCGAGGAAGGGGCAGTTGAGATCCTAAGCAATGAAAGGGAAAGCCAGGAAGCTTTAGAAATCCCGCACAACTGAGGAGCTGAATTGCCCTTCAGCCAACTCAGCAATCACGCTCTTGGTGTTCCTTCCTTCGCTGCCAAGCACACACCAGGCTTCTTCGCACACACAAGCGCGCCCCAGCCCCAGCGCATGGGCCCAGCACAGCAGGGGCGCGCTCTCCCTACATCCTGCCCGCGTTAAATTCCCCTCACCCTCAGCCCACATGTCGGGCTGCCTGCGTCCCCACCCCCTGTAAGTACGCGCCCTCTGGGCTCAGGGGGCATTTTGGCCTAGTAGCCACCGGCCGGGCGGAGCGGGGGAGGCGTCAAGGGAGACTGATGCGGGGCGGGGGCGGAGGGGGGCAGCGGGCCCTGGCCCAGATACTCGACCTCGTGGGGCGGGTTCCTCACTACTGGCACCTGCCCCTCGCCCACCAAGGTGGCACGGCCTCCGCCTGTCTCCCCCCAGGCCCCGCGAGCTCCCTGGGGCCGGGGCCGGGTCCCTGCCGGCCCCCGCCCTTGCTCCGCACGCCCAGCCTGCTCCTGCAGAGCTCCAGGCCGCGGAAGTCACGGTGCGGCGGGCGGGGGCGCCGGCCCCACCGGCCCGCCAGAGCTGGGGCCCAGGGAGGCCGCCCGGCGAGCCCCTGCAGGGCGCCGGGGACAACTGGGGCCGCCAGCTTCCGCCGCAGGCCCGGCCAGCCCGGCCCCGCCGCCCTGCCCGGCGCCCCGGGGCCTCCCCAGGCCCGCGGCACCTTCAGCTTCGCGAACACCTCCACGGCCGCCGTGGACACCGCGGCGTCGCCCTCGTCCTCGTAGCAGCAGCCGCCACCGCTGGCGCCTGCACAGGCCATGCTGCGCGCCCCGAGCTCCCTGGCAGGCCTAGCGGCCAGCCGCGTACAAACCCTGAGCTCGCCTGGCCACCCGCGCGGGAGAGCACCGGGCCGCAGGCCCCGGGCTTCGGGGCAGGGCTCGGGGCGGGCCCGCGCCCCGGTGCCACCCAGGAGGCGGGCCTCGGGGAAGGCGGGGGGCGGGCAGAGCCGGGACTGCCCGGCAGGCGGCCGCCCAGCTCGCTTCTCCGGGCCGGGCCGCCAGGCCGAGAACGCGCCGGGGCTGGCCTCCTCCAGCAGAGGGCACTCCTGCCTCGGCTGGGCTCTCGCCGGGAGGGTGGACGCGGGGCAGCCTGGGATGCAGGATGCGACTTGAGTGTCTCAACTCCCAGCGCGGGACTCTGTCTCCTGTTTCCCACACTGATAACCGTAGTTAGAGGGAAGTTTGTTGAGTTCGAATTCGGTCCCACCACTCACCCACTGTGTGACTTTAGGCCGGTTACTTACCCACTCTGTGCCTCCTTACCCTCAGCTAATGGGGAATACGAAAGCACTTACCTCATTGGGTAGCTATGATGACCGAGTGAGGTAACAATTTCCATGAAACACCTAGGACAATTCCTGCTACATAAAAAGCACTGTGTAAATGTTGGCCATGTAAATTATTCTAGGTCCTGCTACTACCCCCTCCTCTTCCCCCAGTCTGTCTTTGACCTTCATGCAAAGTTCTGTGCCTCCTTCCTGCCCTGTCCAATTACAAATTTCTTTGCATCTCTCAGTCCCCTCCAACTCAAGGAGTCTGGACTTAAATTTGGCAACCTGTCCACCCCAAGATCTCCAAAGCCCCCAGCTCAGTGAACTCCCCCGTCTCTCGGACCTGCTTATGGGAAGAGGCTGGTGCCTGGGGAGTCAGGAGCCAGCGGCAGACAGCTACTGCCAGCCCACCCCAGTCCTCTCCAGAGTGACGCCCTCCTCTGCCCCTGCCCTGCCATCTCCCAGAGGGAGGGATCAGGGGGCAGCACTAGAGGCTGGAAGACCCAGGGACCTGGCAGGAGGCAGCTGTAGTCATCTGGCTGACAGGAGAGGACCCAGCCCTGTCCTAGGAGGAGGGGTCGGCAGGAGTCTGGGCTGAAAGGAAGGGACCTCGGCCTGGCCGTGTGGGGCAGGGCCTGATTCCTTACTGAATGCTTTGGAATTCCAAGCTATTTTGAGGGCATGGAGCCTCAGAACTTGAGCTGAAGGGACAGCCCCAGCCCAGGGACCCAACTACATGCAAGGCACCTTAAGGTCCCCTTACCCCCTCCCACATGGCTGCTGCCTTGGGCTATTCTCGCAGCTATAAACTGTAGGGGCTTTGGGTTGGGTTTTTTAAATCATTTTTCCCCTCTTTTTCTGCTTTTGTTTTTCTTTTTTGCTCTTTTAAAAATTTCATTTCAATCACAGCCCCAGTTCAGACATTCAAATTCTTGTGGGTTTTTCTGTGGCTCTTTCCTAGGACTGGGGAATTTGGCAGGAGAAACCCCAGCAGTGTGGTGGCCTCCCCGACCCTCCCCATATCCGCTGCTCCTGTGGCCTGGGAAGAAACCAGCCCTTGTGGATTCTGGAAGGAAATTCCCCTCCCCACCCTGCCCTTCCCCAACACCACAGCTCTGTCCATGGCACAGGGTGGGATAAGAGGGGATTGGCATGGCCTAGAGGGGAAAAGACCATCTCAAGAGGTCATGGGGTCCATCCTCCTGCACGGACGACCTGCTAGCTAGCCCTCAGCTCACAGAGATGACTGCTGAAGACCTGGCAGCAGGCTGTTGTCTCCCTGCCCACACCACCCCCAAATCACAGCACCTCCCAGGCATCTTCTGCTCAAAAGGCTAGAGGCTGGGATGGGAATAGAGGCTGCTGTGCCTCTCAGGGAGGAAGGAAGATGGGCCTGAGTGGTAGAAGCTTCTGGAAGCATGGATTCAGGCTCAATACAAGGAAGCACTTCTCTCAGAAGGCTCTGTCTAAACACTAGCTGGCTGCCTAGAAAGAGAGAGGGCTCCCTGTCTTGGGAGGTATGCAAGCCCAGGGAGGCAGGTAGGGATGTGGAGGGGTGGGTTTCTAGAGGGAAGAGGGTAAGGACAGACCTCTAAGGAGCATTCCCGCCCGGAGTCCCTTGGTTCTGTGAGGGAGGCCTGGGCAGGTCAGGGACTGAAAATGAAGCTGAGGGAGCCGTCTGCCAGGTGGGGATTTGACAGAGTGGGGAGTGGTAGAGACTATGGGGCCCTGGGCAGACCCAGGCACTGCACACAGCAAGAGCCGACCTCCTGGTCATGGGGGAAACTTGGCCGTGGATCCCAGCAGGGCCTCAGCCATGTGTCAGGGCTTGGAAAACAGGTTGGAAAATGAAACCGGTGGACAAGCACTGGCCCCACCGTGCCAGGGATGGGCTGGCAGGCCATGGAGGCTGAGGCAGCCAGCCACGTGAGACACCTCACTTTGTGCAGTGGGCTCAGAAATGCAAAGCTTCCTCCAGTGGTTTCCCTGCCCTGGAGCAGCGGCTGCCCGTAGGAGCTGTGCAGGATATCAGGCAGGAGGAAAGTCCCCAAGAGCATCTCCACCCTGATATTAAAGTTGCCTTTAGCAACAGACCTCATGGTTCAGGGGGAATCTTAACCAGAACCCTCCAGCAGACATTGCCAATCAAAGGAAGCTGAAGTTCAAGGGCTTATCTCTCCAGCAAGGAAGAGAAGGCAGCCAGTCTGAGAAGCTTTAAGGGGCAGTGACTCCTTCCTAATCCCCCACTCCCTTCACCCCTGAGGTTCCCCTGGTGAGCTCCAAATGCAGGTCTTTGAAGAAAAAACATGTAGGGTGTGTGTGTGTGAGAGAGACAGAGACAGAGACAGAGAGACATTTCAGGGGAGGAATTCAAGTATGGGATGAGAAGCTTATCAAGTCCATGGGAGAAGTAAGTCTCAGTGCCTGGCACTGGCTTTTGGGGAGAAATGAGACAAGGTAATGAGGTCAGGCTAAGGATCGTCTGAGTTCAAGACTTTCCCCAGCAGAGGCAGCGTGAGCAGGCTGCTCCCTTCCCTCCCTCCCTCTCCTCCCCAACACCCTTCCCAGACCTTCCCATCTGCCCCTGACTGAGCTGCCGCACTCAGCTGTTGATCGCCGGTGACTGAGCTCCCAGGAGAGGAGTCCAGGCCCTACGGCCAGCCCATGCCAGAAGCCCACTCAAAAGCAGACCATCTTCACACAGACGGGAAGAAGAGTGGAGAATGCAAAGTGGGCGACCCTTGCAAATGAGACAAGGAAGAGCCACAGGCTGCAGAGAGCCCCAACCTTGACCTGACGGACTCTCAGAGAAAGAAGGACACTGGCGTTCCCTTACGTGGTTGTCATTCACCCACCCCAAAGCCCTGGGGACTGGCCTTGGCCAAACACTTGCTACTGGAGTCGTGTAAGTCCAGAGGACTCCAGAGATGCTCCTTGTGGACTGACACATGTGGGCCTGACACAGGCATAGGCTTGGGGAAGCCTAGCCACCTCCCATGCCAGCGCGGGGTGGGTAAGACTGTCAACCGAGGAGCTGACTGACTACTGCCAATCCTCGAATGCTCTCATGCCAGGTCTCTGCGCCCACCCTGGGAGTCCTCTGGCCTATGAGGGTGGAGAAGCTGCCCCGGGAGTCGCGCTTCCTCTTGCCATTACTTCTGGCCCCTGTGCTGGGGCAGGGGCCACGGCAACCCAAGGCAGCAGCAGCGGGAGAGCCAGCCCCGGGGGGGGAAACCTGTCCTACACGTGGGAAACTTAGGCAGTGCTGCTTTAGGGTCTTACCCTGGCTCCTGCAAGAGCACACTGCGTGGGTGGGGATACCCAGGAGTGCACCCCATCTCCGAAGGAACCAGGAGTGGGAATGGACACTGGGGCAGGGTAGGTCACTGACGGGGTCTTAGCTCATCCTCCTGCACCAAGCCTCACAAATGGGAGGCAGGCTGGGCCCTGAGGGGCCTTGGCACTCCCCCTCTGAGAGGGGCCTGGGCCAGGGTCACCCTGGCTGGGGGGAGGGGCAGCGTGCTGAGTGGGATGGAGGTGGGGCAGCTGTATGCGCTGGTGGGGGGGACCAGGCGGCTGGAGAGGAAATGGCAGGCAGGATGGCCCCCTCCGCAGGGAGACTCGGGTCTAGACGGCTTGGCAGGGCCAGCAGGGCTGAGTCACATGCGTCTGGAACATGAACGTGCCCACTGGGGAGGGCCAGGCGGGGGAAGGGCCGCTCAGGCTTGCCTTCCCTCGCCCTAGCCCCAGCCCAGCATGAGCCCCAGTTTCTGCCCAGCTGCTGTCCTCTGCCTCAGGCCCCTGGGTGCCCACCTGTAGGGGCAGGGGCAGGGAGTCCAGTCAGGAACATATGACTGGCAAGAACCAATTGAATTTCAAATGGAGAAGGGGATGGGAAACTGGCCCCTAATGGCTCCCATCCCAGCCATGGCCCTATTCCCTCCACCCAGCTACTTTGGCCACCTGGGACCTTTTTGCCCCCAAGTGACCCTTGCTACACTCCATCCTCCTGCACTAGAGCCATCCCCAGGGACGCTGAAGGTCTCTGCTCCTCTACCCTGACTGCCAGTGCGCCTTACTCCCTGCCAGCCCATCCACAGCTGTCATTGTCCTGCCTGGGGGCTGTTCCGCCTCCCTGACTGCCTCCCCCGCTGCCTCTGTCCCTATCTGTCTGTCTCTCCCCCTCACTTACTCAGGAACGCCAGGTCTCAGGCAAGGAAGCTGGGCAGATAAGTCCGGATTGGCTCATGCATTTAGTGCTCACAAAAGCATCTGTGAGAAAAGTCATTTAATTGGGACCAGATCCTCTGAGGTTTCAAGGGCATTAAAACAAGATGGGTTTTCTCTAGGGAAGAAACTGCTGGCAACAGGAAGACGGCATGAAAAGTCTGGCTCTGTTCTTCTCCAAGCTTTAGGAGGGAAAAGGTCCCTATACCTTCGTTTATATAAGATAGATGCATGAACATGCACCCTGAGAGACCCTCCCACACACCCCTTGGGTACATGCAGCACACACACACACTGGTTTTGATGTTGGTTAGACACAATGCTGAAGGCTCCAGAATGGGCCTGTCCCCTTGCTCTGGGGATGAACTGAAAGGTGGGTCTTTGGCTGCAGAGCCATTGGTCTGCCTTGGGCCCTGGCAGCAGGACTGGTAAGTAGTGGGGGCTCAATGCATTTGTCAAATGACAGATATAGGGGGTCAGGACAAGCAGCCCAGACCTTGGCCGTGACCTCCAGGCATAGCTCGCAGGTTAGGTGTTGGACTCCCGTGCTCTTGCCCCACCAGTCTCTGCCTGCAGTGTTCTGACTCCGCCCACTCCCCGCCCCCGCCCCCACACCCTGGCCAGCACCCTCCACCCTGGGCCAGCCAGGGTGCCCTCTCCCCTGGAGGCTACAGCAGCCTCCACGTGGAAACCTGTCTTCTGCCCTTGTTCCCTCAAAACGTCCGTGCTCTACCCCACAGCCCAAGGGACCCTTTTATAATGTAAGTCAGAACATATGATTTCTCTACTCAAAAGTCCACAGTGGCTCCCTGTTTCCTTCAAGGTCGGAGGCAAAGTCATCCTACTGTCCTCTGATGCCCTCTGACTCTTCCCCAACCACCCCTTCGCTCAGCCTGCTTCACCACACTGGTCTCCTTGCTAGTTCTCAGTCTGGGCCAAACCCTTTCCTGCCTCAGGGCCTTTGCACTGACTGCCCCTCCTTTTTGGAGGGCTCTTTACTGGAGCTCTTTTTATTGCCTATCTCCTTTTCATTCACATCTCCACTTACTCACAGTCCTCATCTTGTCCTCTGTTAAAAGTGTCCCTCTCTCCAGTCACCATGGCCAGCCCCTTTCCTTCTGATGGGGTCTGTGTGTTCTTCTCTAGACAGCCAGTTCTGTGAGCGCAGGGCAGCTGACTGTGTGGTTCACTGTTGCACCACACACAGTGCCAGGCACAGTGCCTGGCCCACAGCAGGGGCCCAAGAATGTACGGTGAGTGAAGAATCCATTCCCCAACCCTCCCTCGATGGGAGAAGAGCTCTCAGCTGTGCAGTTCTAAGGAGTGTTGAGGGACAAGAGTGTTGCTTTGCCATCCTCTGGGCTGCCAACTGGGAATCCTGACTTGTGATGGTCTATGTGTGCACACATGTGTTGGACAATGCGCCACGTGGAAGGGAAGGACAGAAGGAGAAGGAGAAGGAGCAGGAGGCCCTTCTTTGCCCTTAGAATCCTGGGATTGTGCAGCTAGAAGCAACCTTCATCATGTAATGCAGCTTCTCTAGGCCCTTTCCAGCTCTCAGACTCTGGAACTGCCTAAGGTGCCCACCCCACCCCACTGAGATGGGATACTGAGGCCCTGAGCAGGGAGGCTTGCTCCTGACATCACACGGCCCGTCAGTCCAGGGCAGAGCTGGGAGCCCAAAACTTTCCAGCAACCCCCAGGCTGCATCCCTGGTTCCTGGAAAATCCCAGCACCCCTCCCACCCTGTGCTCCAGACACCAGGCTCAGGGTTAGTGTTGGCCTAAGGCCCTGCTTGTCTCAGCCCAAGTCCATGACCGAGCTATGCATGCAGGAGGGGCAGGCGTGGGAGGGCAGCTCTGGTTCTGCCCAGCCCCCTAGCAGGCTGGCTGTGTTCCGTGAGGGCTCCCTCAAGGTTCCCAGGGTGGCCAGGTGCCCCAAGACTGAGCAGAGTGGCCACTGGGCCCCCAGCAGAGGAAGGGCAGCAAGGACAGGTCTCCACAGGAGCTGGGGAGCTGAGAGTACCCCAGGCCTCGCCACTTCCTGCCTAGGTGGGTAGGAGCTGGGGTCCCTCCCTCCTCCAGGCTTCTGTGCCAAAGAAACCTGGGAGCAGCTTCCCCCAACCCCCATCCCAGCTAATGGGAACCAGATGGCAGGATGTTTAGTCAGCGCCTGGGGAGCGGCTTGAACAGGGGGAAATGGGTTGGGGGCCAGGATTCCAGAATCCGTCCCCAGGCGGGGGGAGGGGCGGAGCCTGGGCTCACACCACAGTCAGTCTCCTGGGACGCAAGTCAGGCAGATTTCCGTACCCTCTTCAGGTGATGCCTTCTCTGTATGAGGCAGGCTGCTCAGCCTTCCACGACCCCCAGCGTCAGCGAACCCGCAGCCCAGGACATCCTGTGTCACTCACGGGTGCGCAGGCAGACAGTGGCTTCACCCTTGGCTCCCAAGGTGTTTGCTCATGCTCACTCCCAACACAGTCTGTCTCTGGTCTGCATGTGTCCCCGTCCCAAATTCAGGCCATAAACTAGAGGTCTGGACAGGACAGCGGCAGGGGGTTGCGAGCAACTTCATGTGGCTCTTACAGGACTGTTAGCAGGCATAGGGGCTGCAAAAGGGCAGTGACTCTCGTGTCCCTGCCACACCCCAAGCACAGTACATCTGGGACTCAGACCCAAGTGGGCAAACACTGAGGAGCCTGGTGAAGACCCACTGGCTAGCGCCGCCCTGCCCTGACCAACCCCCACCCCGTCCCCGGTCTCCTGCACGCCTCTTGTGGCCAGCTCCTCCCCACCCCTCTCCCCTCTCCCGCCCACCCAAGCCTTGCCCACAATTAACTCATTTTTTAAGACTGCTTCCAAACATAAGTCAACACTGGACAGAGCTGTAGGAAAAGCTTCCTCAAGGCTGGCCTCGAAGAGCCGCGTGGTGAGACTGAGCCTCCTCGCCAGCCCCCTCTTGGCCGCCCTGGGCTCCCACAAGGCTCAGGCACCCCCATCTTTGCCTCTTGCTCCACCCCAAAGCCCGCTCCCTCGGGCCTGGCCTCCTTTCTGCATTGCCCCATCCTGAGCGCCAGGTGCTCCCTGACCAAGACAGTGTGTGTGAGGCCTGGGGAAATCTTAGGTGTGTCTGATGACAGTGGTGACTGGGACCTGGGACTCTTGGCCAAGAAGTCAGGGCGGAGGAGGGGGTCTGTGAGAGGGCCTCACACAGGCCACCTCCAGGCTGTCCAGGCCAAGGGACCCTCAAGAACCCAGCAGTCCCTGGTCCGCACATAGTCCAATGGCGGGGTGGGGGGAGGGCGGTGGGAGGCACAGCAAGAGGTGGCCACAGGGCATGTAGACCTGTCCCCCACCCCACCCCCGCAGCCCCGAGGTAGGCAGGGAGCTGGTAGAAGGACCATCCTGAAGCATGCCTCTGCCCGGGTGTTCAGTTTCCTCCAGAATTGGGAGGCCTCGGCCCCAGCCCCGATGGCAGAATCCCGCAGGCTTGGCAGATTCCAGAAGGTGGCCTGGGCAACTGCCCCTCTCCCAAAGACCCAGGAGGCCCTGGGTCCTGCTTCTTGCATGGCCCAGCCGCTTTCTTATCCCAAGCATGGAGGTAGGACCTGGCAGCCTGGGATGGGCAGCTTGCTCTGTGGTGGGCCTCACAAGCCCACTGTGTGTGGACACAGAAGCCCCATTCACGGGGGCCACTGGGCCTGGGCCAGTGGAGAATAAATACAGGCCTCTGTCTGCACACACAGTGGGCCTGCTTTCTGGTCCAAGAAAAACGCCGCCTCTTTCTCCTCAGATGGAAGCAGGGATGTTGGGGGTAAGTTGGGAGCAAGGCCTGGGAAGGTGCTTATTTGCCTGGGGGCCTTCCTGGGAGAGGGCGGGGGCCTGTGGGGGAGGCTCCAGGTACCACAGTGAGGACCAGGAGCTCGGGGAGTGGGACTGTTGTTCGCTGTCCCCCTGTGTCCGTCCTGCCTCTCCCAGCCCAGCAGCCTGCGTGCCCGCGCAGTGGCGATGAAGAGCGCGCTGCTCCCAGTCCTGGCTCTTTGGGTGGGCTGCAGCCCTGGAGGGGCCCTGGCCAAGCAGGGGCTGGGCCTGAGGAAGCCCACAGCCCTGCCAGCCCCCTGGGCCTCCAGACGGTGAGTAGGTGGCATGAGCAGGAAGACGCTGGCAGAGGGTAGCGCCCTAGCCCACGACTTGAATCCCCTTGGGGCTGGGGCAGCGGGAGTGAAAGCAGGTCACCAAGAGGCTGCCTGTGTGGTGCCCACCTTGGGTGCTGGGGAGGGAGTGGGAGGGGCCCATGGGCCATAAGGACCCTTCCCTGGAGGGTGAAGGGGGATGCAGAGTCTGAGAGGCCTCGCGCCCATCACCTGGCATGGAGGCAGGAGGGAGAGAAGCCCTGCCAGGGCGGGCTGCTGCAGCTGGGGCTGGAAGAGCGGGCCCCGCTTCTCTGGTGCAGGAGTTGAGCCATGCACCCTAAGGCCTCCTGAGGAGCCCAGGCGCAGCACAGAGAGCTGGAAGTCAGGGGGCCTGGGGCTGCGGTGTGGTGGCATAAGGGGCCCCAGGAGGCTGGCTGTGGTGTTGCCTTGGTCATATGCCAGTGGTTAGCACCAGGCTTGGTAGCCCCACTGCAGGAGGAGCCAGTGGGCAGACACAGGAACTGCAGAGAAAGCCCCTGGTGAATTCTGGTTGAAAAGGGGCTGCCATGGCTGCCAGCCCTTCAAGGTAGCCTCTAGGCTGTCCTCACCACAAGAGCCTCCCCTCCCAGCAGGCACTGGGGCTTCCACCTCCAAAAAAACACTGTGCCAGGTGGTAGCAACCTGCTTGTCATCCTAGAGGCTGTCCCCACCCATCCTTGCCCAGAAGCACCCCTGGGGGTACAGGAACATACCCAGCCCCCTGCCTAGGGCCACAGAAGCTCCCCTGGGCCTACCCCTGTGGGCAACTTGGCCTAGGGGCCTCCGGCCTGTTACGAACTGAGCAGCACCCTGCTTTCTCTGGTGCTTGGGCTCCCCTTCTGTGGGGCCATGAACAGGTGGGGAGACTATGGAGTCTCTGGTACTTGGTAACCTCGGGGATCTGTGACAGAAGGCTGAGAGCTTCTGAAGAGAGAAGAGAAAGGCTGCCCCATGTGCGAAACGGCCACTATCCCAGCCCACACATTCCTGGGGCTGCCCAACCTGCAGTGGCTTGGACCTGAGCAAGAACAAGTTGGACACCTGGGGCCTGTACCCCCAGGCCTTCCACTGCCCCCTCCGTCTGCTCTCTCAGGGGGCCTGGGCCTGGGAGGAGGGCTGGCAGGTCTGGGGTGGCTCCCGTCATCCACTGTTGCTCTATGCAGATGAGCTGGGAGCCCCTTAGGCTAGGGAGGCAATACTGTGCGCAAAGGACCAGTGCATCTGCCACCAGTGGGTACACTGCCCATGCGGGGAGTTGTCACAATAAACCCACAGAGCCTCAGCACCAAAGGGCCTCTCCTCTGCCTGGCCAGGCCTCCCAGAAGCTCAGAGTTGGGCCTTGAGGACTGTCCCAGACCTGCTGAGTGTCCCTGTGCCAGATCAATGCTCTGTCTGGGTTGCATGATCCCCTTGGGCTTTGCAGTAGCTCTGGAGTTCTTTGTCTTATGGGGTTCTGAGGAGCCGTGACACAAATGGCAGGTGTCACTGGGATCCTTTACACAGGTGGCCATGGCTCCAAGAGTAGCAGAGACAGTGGCATCTGAGTCCCACAGACAAGGCTGGGTGGAAGGGGACAGGGAACAGAGCCAGCGAGTGGCAGGTGGGCCCCTTACCCCCAGTCCTGGCCCCAGGAGCTGCATCTGGACACCCATGTCATTGAGCAGGTGACAGAGCATGTGCCCAACCACAGCCGAGACCTCTGCATGCTGGTGCTCAGCAAGAACCCGCTCCAGGAGGACCGGCAGGCACCACAAGCTTGGACTGTGCTCCCGTGGGTGCTGCCACTGGCCTGGCACCTCATGAGCTTCACCCTGACAGGCCCATGGAAGTCAGAGAAGGAGGACTCGCCCAAAGGACCCCAGCGAGTAGGCAGGGAGGGAAGAGAAGGCTGGGGATGGGCCTGGTCCCACACAGGTTACCCAGGTCACCTGCCTCCCTGCCCAGGGCTCAGGGTAGCCTGGGCCTTCAGCCACCACCTGCCCAGCAGAATCCCCAGTGCTCCTGCCCATGCCCAGATTTACCCTGCAGGCCCCTCGGAAGCTCACCTGGGAGATGCCATGGGCTTGCACAGAGGCACAGCGTGGGTGGTGAGAGGCAACAGGGGTAGGAAGGGACACGGAAGAGATAGTGGGCCCAGCAAAGAGACTACAGAAGTGTCCTGGGGTGGCCATGACAGATCACCACACACCGGGTGGCTTAAACAACAGAGATTTCTTCTCTCCCAGTCCTGGAGGCCAGAAGCCTGAAGCCACAGTGTGGGCAGGGCGGGACTCCCTGCAGAGGCTCCAGGGGAGGGTCCTTCCTCGCCCCCAGCATCGGGAGGCCCCAGGGCCCTTGGCTTGTGGCCACATCACTCCCATCTCTGCCTCTGTCGCCGTGTGGACGCCTCCCCTGTGACTGTGTCCTCTTCTGTCTCTTATAAGGACACTTGTCACTGCATTTAGGGCCCACCAGGGAAATCCAGGAAGCTCTCAACTTGAGGTCCCTCACTTACCTACGTCTGCAAAGGCCCTTTTACCAGATAAGATCACATTCCCAGGTTCTGGGTAGACATCTCTGGGGTCCACTATTCACCCTACTATAGCAAGGGTCCAGGACGAGTCCCCGCTTTTTGGTCTGACAGCTGGGTCTGGGCACTAGCAGGAGAGGTCGAGGAGGAGGCCCAGCTCTTACAGGCATCGCCCCAGGACTCAGGATCTGGTCCTGGGGGCAGCAGGAGGGCTGGGAAGGCGCGACCCACGGGGTGCGCACACGGGGTCAGCTGTCTGACCTGCCGGTCCAGGGACTGGAGCCTCCTGCCTCCTGCCCTGCAGCCTCATGTTCCAGGAAAAACTTACCAGAACGTTTGGGTTTAATTATTCTTTTTTCCTCTCCCCCTCTTGCCAAGGGGGCAAAGAAAAGCAGACAGCAGCCTAGGGAGGGACCGCCCAGCTGCTGTTCCACTCCCGCCATGGGGCCTGGGCAGGGGGCTGGCGGCCAGTCAGGCCCGGGACGGCAACACCCAGCTTTCCTCTGGCTGGCGGAAGGGAAGGGGGCTGCTGTCTTGGCGGGCCGTGGAGGCACCAGTCATGGGACCTCCCACCCCCACAGACTAAGGGTCCCAGGGCCCCAGGTTCAAAGGTTGACCCCACTCAGGGGGGCTGGAGGATACCACTAAGAGAAGCCACTTTCCCTGCCCGCCGCCCTATTGCCCGCCCTGGGGTGAGCCAGCTTTGTGGCCTCCTGAGCTTCACCATCAGCCAAAGTGATCTCTCGGGGTCCCCAGCCCTGATCCCCAAGGGTTTGGTTTTATTTTTCTCTCCAGCAGAGATGAGAGGGAAAGACTGAAAGGCCGAGGAAGGGTGGGGCAGGGCCAGGCCTAAGCAGCGCGCAGGCACCTCCCCTTGGTGTAAATGGGTGGAAGGGGGTCTGCCATCTCCACACCAAGGACCGCCCGGCTAGCCTTCACATGAGCCCCTCTTCCCAGACTTGGGCAGACAGAAGCCACAGACGCCAGATAGGGCCTGCCTGCCTCCTGGCCCTTCCCAGCTGTTGGAAACTCTGGCACAGGGCTCTGGGGGCAAATCCCCACTCCCCTTTTGGGCGTGGACCTGGGACCCCAATTTGGGGTTCCAGCTGTGGCTGTAGTTCCTGCTCATGCAGGAAGCTAGAGACCCTCGACCTGTCCCACAAACCAGCTGGTACAAGTGCCCTCCTTCCTGCATCGAGCACGTCCCTGGCTACATGTTTGTACCCATGAAGCCAAGCCTGGAGCTCCTGCGCCTGTGTCACAACAGCCCGCATGCCATGGCACCCACAGTGCATCCTGTCTGAGCCTACATGCCTCCCTGGCTGAGGTGCTGCTGGGTGACCAGCAGCTACAGGCCCTCCTGCGTGGCCGGCTGGGCCTCTGGGGGCCGCAGGCCCTGCACCAGAGCCACAGCAAGATCAGGTAGGTCCACCTGCCTGTGCCCACTCTGCCTGTAGGCTCCTCACCCACGGCTCTCAGAGCTGAGGGTGGAATTGGGGGGGGGGCATCCTTCACCACCCCCATCCATTCATCCATCTTGTCTGCTGAGGTGGAGGCTGTGCCCAGTGACTGTGAAGCCTAAGCAGCCAAGGAGGGGGGCTGCAGACAGCAGAATCTGGGAAGGTGAGAGGACTCCAGCCCAGAGCAGCAAGGTCCGGGCCCCAAATGGGAAGGTGGCAGGTGGTGACCCTTCACCCTGGGTCTCATCTCTGCACCTTGGTTTCTACCCCCCCCCACCTTGCCTCCCCATTGTGATGCCTGACTCCCCTTTCTGGGGTCTTTCCTCTGCTCACCCCTGCTACCCCCACTCCACAACACATGCCCCAAATTCCATCTGTGTCACTTGTGTGGCCCAGGACTCACCTCACCTCCATGCACCTGGAGAACAACCGCATGGACCGCGCCGCATCCCGCCCGCTGCGTTCTCTTGCACCCAGGCCCGCCACAGCGTGGGCCTCCGGCCCCAGCAGGGGGGGGAGCTGGGGAGGGCTCCTGGAAGGCCCGGAGTGCGGGTGTGACCAGGCCCAGCTCCACCTGATCTTTGCACCACTGGGAGAAAGATCTAGAAGACTGCTGCTTCAGATGTACCCACTTCCCATTGACTGCTGAGACCCCTTCACTTAGTAAATGACTCAGCAGGGTGTGGTGCTGGTTTGGACTTGAATGTAATAAATGCATCTCGTTCAAGCACACGCGTCTCCACCAGCCTCCCTTCCTCCCTCTTGGGTCTACAGCCCAGGGCCCACATGCTGGACGCTGCCTTGTCAGCAGGGAGTCAAGAGGGCCTGGTTCCAGAAGCTTCCCCAAGAGCCTCCCCACCCGCACCCACCCTGGCCAGGGTCCTGAAGTCCCCTGCAGCTCAGCCCCAAGCCATCTGGGGACCCAGCTCACCTCCTTTGCTCAGGGGGCATCAGTCCCTCTGGTGCAGGAAGTGTCCCAGTCCCAGGTGTGGATGGATGGAGGTGGGCTCAGCTGGGAGGGCTAACATGGAGGTCCCTAGGGTCCCTCTGTGCTGGAGCCACCTACAGCCGCACCTGCACCAAGTCCAGGGGTACCTTGCTCCCTTTCCCTCTAACCCAGGTCCTGGGGCCCTCATACTGGTTCCCCATCCCCATCCCTTGTGCACAACTGTCCCCAGGCCAGACTGTGGGTCCCCAGGTCCCCATCTGCAGCCTTCAGGGACAAGCACAGGGGTCCATGGATGTGGGACGTGGGACCCAGACTTGGTACCAGGGGAGGGTGGGAACAGCAACCCTTGGGGCGCAAGCACTGGGTCTATGGGAGGGCTGGCCCAGCCCTGGGAACCCAGTGGCAATGGCCCCCCCGACTGGGGTTGCTGACTGTCCGCCTGGTGGGGGAGGCAGACACAGACACAGTGGGCTACGGTGGCTCAGCCGTGGTGAGCCCTGAGGTGGGACGGGCCAGCTGTGTGGGTGGCCACATGGGGTCTACAGAGCCCCCAGAGGCCACTGCGGCAGTGGCCCTGCCTGTATGGGGGACCACCAGGAACGGGGTGGGGTCCCTGGGTCAGCCTCCGCAGCTCACAATGCCACCATGCCCAGTGCTGGGGTGGGGGAGGGACTGGGGGGTGGACAACCAGCAGGCAGCATGGCCCACCTGGCCCCTGCCCGCAGCTGCTGGGTGTGGGTGAGGTGAAGGAGGAAGGGCACCAGGTGCCCATGCGGAGACCTTGACTGGGATCTGGCCTGAGAACCGGAGTCTGCATGGGTCACGCTCTGTAGCCAGCCCCCCTCCTCCTTGGGGTTCTCAGGCAGGGGATGGGAGAGGCCTGGGAAGCTGGTGGAGTATTTGCTTTGGACTCATCCCTGCATTCCTTCTCCTCCCGGGCCTGGGCCAACAGATATGGCACTTCCTGTTTGGGCTGGGCCAGAGGTCAGCAGCCCTTGGGGCGCTGGCCTGATGGGGAGGGCCTGCTGCTCTTTCAGCTCTCGTGACCCCTCCTCCCTGTCCGGCTGTCCCAGCCTGGCCCCTCCTAATAGGGACAGTCCCCAGTCCCCTCCCTCCCAACTGTTACAGAGGTGGGGACCTGAGAGGCACAGGAAGTCCAGGCTGGGTGAATCCCCTTGTCACCTCCATCCCTGTGGGCCTTGCCCCACTGCTGCTTTTACCTTATTTCTACTGGGCCACCTGCGCTGCCTGGCCACGGAGTGTGGGGAGAGGACCAGAGGAGGGTAGGAGGGACTGTGGAAGCAGGCAGAGCACAGGTGGTTGTCCAGGAAAATTGCCCTACAAGCAGGAAGCCACTTGGCCCTTGGGGTTGCTGTTGGGTGGGCTGAACTCAGGCCCAGAGGCCGTTCCTCCCCTGACCATCCAGAGCAGCTCGGGGTGTCTGCCATCAGGCTCCTTGACAGACTTGATAAGCCACGTAGGCTACCAAGTGGGGAAGGGCAGACCATGGGGACAGGGAGCCCTGGAGCACTCCTTGGGAACTTGCACCTCTGCCTGCCCCTCCCAGCCACAGTCCCAGAATCCTGCCCCTTGGCCTCCAAATTCTTCTCTTTGTCCCCAGCACCCCCATGGGAGGGCCAGCCGCTGCTCCTTCACCAGGCGCCCTGCCTAGCTTCTGCACACCCAGTTCCAAGCCTCCCGCCTGTCCCGTACCCCACATTGTGGCAAGCTCGTTGAAGCCCCCGCATCTTGAAGAAACAGGCCCTGGAAGGAGTGTAGCAAGATGGGGAGGCCAAGGCTGTGTCTCACGGGGTGTGCCCCTGGCCCTGCAGCAGCTTCCACCACAGCAGTCACACAGGACCAGTCCAGGAGACACTGGCTGCCCAGACCCCTCCCCTGCACCCACCTTCATCCCCCACCCCCACCAGGGTCCCCTGGCCCTGCAGGCAGCAGGCAGATCTGGGCACTGCTCCTGGGGGCTGGTGTACCCCAGGGGAAGACCATGGATACCTCCTGTGGCTCGGCCTCCTGTCCATCTACCCTCATGTGGCCACACCCCAGACCGTGCCCCTCTAAAGATAGCTAGATGCAGTCCGTGCCTCTGCAGAGCCCCCTTTCGGGGCCTGAAATTACACCCCTGGCAGCCCCATGTGGAGAGCGCTGTGTGATTATGTTCTCAGGGGAAGGTCAAAAAAAGCACTGGCATGGAGAGTGCCAGCTTTCACCGGCCACGCCTCGGCCTTCAGCTCTGGGAAGCTTCCAGGTAACAGAGGCTTGGGCCACTCCGCAGCAGCTCGGCTCCCTCTTGGGTCTGTTAGCACGAGCCCCCTCTGGGGGCACAGGTTACCATACGCTGCCTCGGGGCTCCAGAATGTCACAGCTCTGGCCTCCAGGCACCTGAGGGCCTGGCGCCTCCCTGGAACCAGGGGGCCCAGCCCTCTCCCTGCCCTGCCCTTCCCCCTAGAGTTCACAGATCGGGACTGGATGGAGCCAGCAGGCTATGAACCTGGGGGCGCCAGCTTGGGTTCAGGGGTCCCTGAGATGTCAGCTCACTTCTGGGCGGGATCACTTGCACAAGAAGTGACTTACATGTGTGTGTGTGATGTGTCCCTGGGAGTTCATCCTGGTAGCTGGACGTAAGAGGGCTTCTGTGGGTGGGAGCCTGTGCTCTGGGCTGGCCCTCTGAGAGTCCTGTGCCGGTACCCAGGCCCGCGCCATTGCCCTCACAGCACACGTGACCGCCGCTCTTGGGCACCATCACACATGTCCTTGCTTCTGGCCCAGCAGCATGTGTGGAAGTCAAGGCCCACGGACTCAGTGTCCAGGGAAGGGGCCGAGAGGCAGAGGGGAGACCCAAGGAAAGAATGGGGAGCCGGGAAGAACAGACAGGAGGACAGGAAGGCCCAGGAAGGGGGCTGGCAGATGGCTCCTGAAGCTCAGGGCCCAGCTGCTCTTTCCAGCCTCCAGAGGCTCATGGGACCAGCAGCTGGGTGGGCTGGAGCTGGGAGCAGGGGAGACTCTGCTGTCTCAGCGGCTGCCACCTGTGTAAGGACCCCTCTGAATCCCTGCGAGCCCTGCTTGCTGGGCCACCACCCAGGCCCCAGGCTCTGCCTTCCAGGAACCAGTACCAAAGGCGGGTTTGGGGCCCAGAGGGGACTGACTAGTGGCTCAAAGCCTGTCCTCTGCCTGCCTACTTCTCTCCTGGGCCTCCCCCTGCAGCTCTGAAGCCATGACACATACAGGTGCAGACCAGCTGTGGGGGGATGGGTGCAGTCGACTCTGGGTCTTTCTTCACACACAGACCTACCAGACGGCAAGGGGCTTAGATTGCCCTGCCTGGGGCAGCCCCCCAGCTGCTCGACAGCCCTGCCTGTCCCCCTCTCAGTGCCCTTCCATCCTCATGTCGGCTCCTGACTGTTCCCACCGCCCCACTGCCTCCAGGCACCTGCCCTGTGCTCTGGGGCTCCAGACTGGGCACCAGGAAGCAGGCTGGGGCAATGACCCAACAAGGGCTAAAGGAGGGAGCTAGCAGTGTGGTCTAGGGGCCTGGCAGGGCCGGGCACGATACTTTCCCAGGAATCCTGAACCCGCCCCCGGGCTCCTTCTCAGGTCCAGAGGACCAGGTTCTTGGTTCCTCTGGCAGGAGAAGGGGCTTCTGTGGAGGGGCCTGGGTGGGTTCTGGGCTGAGGACAGGCCAGTGCCGGCGGGATCACCCAACACTCTGTAGCACTTTAGAGAACGTGTCCAGGCTGGGGCTTTGGAGGCCTGTCCAGTGGTGTCCCAGAGGCGCAGGGCATGCTGGGAGAGGGCCCTCATGACCCAAGGGCTCGTGCTGGCAGGGTTTAGGTTCTGCCCCCCACCCCCACCCTTTATGACTAGTGCAGCCCTGCCCACCACTGACCACTGCTGTGCATCAGCCTCCTCTAGAGCCTGGGGGCCTCAGGAAATGCCTTCTCTTCCTTCCTGCCTTGTCCCCCATGCCTGCGCTCCCCTGCCTCCTGGTCAGCTAGAGGGCAGGAGGCTGCCAGTTCCCACTAGCCAGCAAGGACGTGCTGTCCCCACACTGCTTAAGCAGGGGTCTGGGCTGTTCCTGTGCTGCAGGAAGTGGAGGCCTGCAGGGAGGGGGAAAGGGGAGTCCCAGGACTGAGGTGCTGCCTGGCTGGTCTGGGAGGGGCCCCCAAATTAGAGGCCCAGGCAGAGTGACTCAGTGGGCCTTGGGCCGGGCACTCAGTCACAGCTTATTGTAGACTCCAAACCACAGACAAACGAGCCTTCCAGGCAGAAGAACTGTATTTACAGAAATATTGCCCCAGACACATTCCCCAGCCACAGGGAAGAGCTCCGGGTGCATAACGTGCCTCTTCAGGGGGTCGCCTCATTGCCACCCCCAAGCTCCCTCCAGGAAGGAGCCTGACTGACACCAGAGTGCACTGTCGCAGTGCCATGCGGAGGAGACACTGTCCCCTTGCTGTGCCCGCTCCCATCCACACCTCGGCAAGTGCTCTTTCTTCCACCACCAGTGTCCCTCTTCCCTCTGTGTCTGCTCCAAGTTACCTCCTCCAGGAATCCCTCCTGAGGTTTTGGTGCCGTGTGTAACCTGGGGAGGTAAGAAATAAGAGGGTCATGTTCCCCTCCCCTGCGGCTCCGAGCCCAGCTGCAGAGCGCTCAGAATGGACTTTCCCCAGCCCGGCCCTGACCACTGTGCCCAGGACTCTTTCACCCCCACTGGGACTCCTGAAGGCCGAGGCCCTGAGTGACAGCTCCTAGGATCCCAGCCTGCAGAGCAGTGTGGGGCACAGTGGAGGGCCGGCTGGGGCATGAGGCCAGGTAGGGCCTTGCTTGGCAAGCAGTGTGCTTAAGGTCTCCTTGAGCAATGGGTGTGTCTTACATGGAGTTGCTTGTTTTTATTCATTTTTTCGAACAGCTTTATTGAGATATAATCCACATATCATACAATTAACCTATTGAAGATGTACAATTCAACGGGGTTACGGATGTTCAAAAAACACATAACATCACCAGTCAACCTAGAACATTGTCACCACCCAAAAAGAAACCACACACCCTTTAGCTGTCACCACTCTATGCCCCAGCCCCCGGCCCTAAGAAACCACTAATTTACTTCCTTTGCCTGTAGACTTGCCTATTCTGGACGTTTTCCTGTGGAATCATACCGTATGTGGTCTTTCGCAACTAGCTTTTTTCACAGAGCACAACCTTGTGTACATGTTTTGGACCCTCTTTCTGCTGCTACCCGGCCTGACTGGGGATGCTGAAGCTCTGTGGGACTACACGGGCTGCAGGATAGTAGTCTTTGTACTGACAGATGTTTGAATATGTCTCCAATAAACAGTACAAAACACAAGCAAACAGGCAGACCAATTGACTCCCCTTGTCTGGAAGGGCACGTGTCCTCTCCGTTCTGCAGGTCCCAACCATTTGCAGCCGGAGCTCCCCACCCAGACCCTGCTTTTCCCATGTCTCCTTCTGTTCCCCAGCCTGAAAGCTTCTTGCAGGCAGGCACCAAGCTTAGTCAGGCCACCATGTGTCCCAGGTCCCTGCCAGGGAGCCCTCAGCTTATGCTGATGCACAGAAAGCGGGTATGGGCCCAGCTACTCCCCCAAGCAGAATCTTCTAGACCCCACCTGCATGTCAGCCCTGGACAGCAGGCAGGGCCAGCAGGGGTGGGTGCACGCAGACCCTCAGACCTCACCCCTTTCCTCCTCCCCTCACACCTGCCTTTCCCTGGCCTCCACTCAGCCTCGGCTCCATGAGCTTTTCGCCCTCTATGCTTTTCTCTCTGGGTCGCAGGGCACCTGCACTGTATTGCATTGCCTGCCTGAGTGTCTTCCCCTGACAGACTCCGTGTCTCCTTTGCAGATGTCAGCTTGCTCGCTACTTCAGTTCCCCTGTGTCTAAACCCTCACCTTGGTCTCTCTGAAGTGGCTCCTGTGGGAGTCTCCCTTCATGCAGGGTCAGCCTGTGACCAAGAGCTGGCTCTGGCCTGGCCCGGCTGCATGCTGGGTCCACAGGCTGGGGAGGGACTGGGACCCTGCTGGATGGGGAGAAGGAGTTGTGCTAAGGCCCTGGGCTCTAGACGCAGGTGGAGCTGGGCTCACATGGGCCCTCAAGTGAGCCTCCAGTAATCTCAGGGGGGTGTGGCTGATGACGGCCTCTTCCTGGGACACTTGGCGGGCTGGCCCGCTTGGCCCCTGTAAGTAGCCAGCACAGTGCGCAGCCCAGAGGAAGTGTCTACCCACAGAGTGGTCATCATGTCCTAGGGACCCACAGGAATGGAGTAAGACAGCTGACCGGCCAGGCCTCTCCTCCTGGAATCAGCGTCCCCATCCTCAGCTTGGCAGGCAAGCAAGGGAGGACCCCGAAACTGCGGTGGCCTCCTGCCAGGCCCCAGCTAAGTCGCATCCTGAAACCACACAGACAGGACTGGTTCCTCTTTTTTTAGGGAAAAAGGGCTAGAGTGGGGTGGGGGGTAGGGTGTCGGGAATGCCTGGGAGCCTAGATGCAGCCCTCCCTAAGCCCAGAGAACCGCCTCCTTGTTCAGGGCAACGCTACCACAGGTTCTGGGCAGGCTCAGGGCAGGAGTCCAGGGACCACTGATTGGACTGGCAACCAGAGTTGGCCTCCGTCTCGTCTCCCTTCCATTTCTGCCCTCCCGCCTTCCTCGGCTGGGCCTAGCACCAGCAAGCCAGTTCCCGCCCCTCGCTGGGCCTCAGTGTCCCCATCTGGACGGTGGAAAGTCTGACTCTCTGAGGCTGTGCCTGCCCAGAGCCGCCAAGGGTCCTGTGTGTGTGAGAGTACTGTGTCCCTTTACTATGTGCCCGGGGCAGCAAGCGGGTGCTGCAGGGGGTGGAGGTAGGAAGGGGGGCAGGGGGTATAACTAGCCCAGCTGTCTTCAAGAAAATTGCTCCCTTTGAAGTTGCCAGGGGGGCCCCGGGAAGCCTGCCCCCTCCCTCCCTTGGTCCCTCCCTCTCCGCCCCACCAGCCCCGCCGTGCTCCCCTCCCTCCCCGCCCCTCCACGCCATCCCCTCCCGTCAGCCGGCCCGCCCGCCCAGGCTTTAGCCTCCCTCCCACAGCCTCGGTCTCCCTCTCTCCACCAACGGCCCAGGAGTGAGCGGCGGCTCTCTGACGGCTTGGCCCACACTGACACACGGACGGCTGGACACCCAAGCCCATCAAGTACAGCCTGCACCCAGCTGCTTCCCCTCCCCAGGTAGGGCCCCGTGCCAGCCCACGCTGGCTCTGCTGTCCCCACACTGGCCTTGAGCTGCCCTTGCTGTCTCATCCCTGGCCCCGCTGCCCCCTCACTATCCTCAAGATGCCCCCATGCCACCCCTCCGCGCCCCTGCCCTTGTCCCTGCGGCTCCGGCTCCCTCGCTGCCTCTCCTGCCCCCAGGCTGCCGCAGGCTCTCGGTCTACACCCCTTCATCGCCACCCTGTGGCTCCCTGGGTCCTTGTCCCATTTCCGCCTCTTCCCGCTGCTTCCAGGTGCCTTCCCTGCCCCGCTTCCCTCCCCTAAGTGGCCTGCCCCAGCTCTGGTCCATGTCTGCCCTCTCTGCCACTCCCTCGGGCTTCTTCCCGGTGGCTACCACCCCAGAGCATCCCCCTTCCCTGCAAGTCTGGGGTGCATCCTGCCCTGCTGCCAGCCTTGCTCTTTGTGCCTGGCCGTGGTCAGGAGTACCTCTGGGCTGCTGCCCAAGTGCAGTGCCAGGGAGCGGTTCCCACTAGCCCCCTTAGTCCTGGGCTAGTCAGAGACCTGGTTTCCCCAGCACACCCCAGGCACGCTGCCCAGATATTCCTGGCTTGTGCACAGGCTAATGCCCTGCCTCCACCTCCTCCTGGGTGAGGTATGGGTTCATGGAACCCTGGCTACCAGGGCCCTGGGTGACGCTTCCTGGGTAGCTCCGTCCTGTCTGTCCCCAGAACCCCCTGGTATTGGGACTCGGGATGGGGTGAGGGGGGCAGAAAGAAACTCAGGCAACTGTGGCATGTTATCCTGGGCAGGCCTGGCTTGAAGCCCCTGCAGGGGACCCTGGGTAAATGTGAAGCCACAAAGCCCACCTCCAAGCTAGGACACCATTATCCCAAGATGGGTGCCTTTAGGGATGGGTGAGGTTCAAGAGCTCCCTGACTAGATGCCATCCCCTAAAGGCAGCCCTCCCACTGGTGTATGAGGCGTCCCAGGAAAGGAGAGTCCCAGGTCTAAAGCAAAGTGTAGATGCAAAGCCCCCCCACCTCATCCATTGTACAGAGGGGGTAACTGAGATGTGGAGGGTAGGAATCTACTCCCAGTTGCACAGCCAGGCAGGGGCAGAGTTGGGGCCACAACCCAAGGTTCCTGACTGGCAAATGCTAGCTCCTAACTGTATACTACCCAGGGAACCTTCAAAGTCACTTGGGCATTAATATGATAGCACTGTATAGGGATCAGAGTGGGAGGTGGCAGAGCCACTGGGCCCTGTTCTCCAGGCTCTCAAGATGGGTGGCATGCCAAGGGGCCCAGCGGGGGTGGCCAGGAAGAGCAGCATGTCACCAAGGGCCCTGGAAGGCTGGGCGGTGAAGCACCCCTTCGCTGCTCCATGGGTAGCCCGGGGCCCTGGTTAGTGAGGGCTGCCTGCTGAGCTGGTACTGCTGAGAGGAGCAGGAGGACCCGGGTCTTCCAGGGCAGGGTGGTGGGCAGGCACGGGCAGGGCAGACCTCGCCAGGCCTGGGAGATTATCCTTGAGCAGTTGTCTCCGGGGCCACTCAGGGTGCTGCGATGGCCAGTCCCGTCCTCAGGGGGCTCCTGCCTCTCTGCCCTTGCCCTTCCCTGGCCGGTTTGCTCTCTGCACAGCAGGGATTTACTGGGATTGAGGCAAGCTGGAGGTGCTGGAGCCATCCCTCAGTGCCAGGAAGGTTCTGGGGAATTTGCCTCCAGGGATGCGGGTTCAAGAGGAGTGAGAATGCTTACGTGCAGGTGAGTGCCTCCTGGTGACGTGCAGCAGCCTGTGCCATCTGAACCCTGGGAGAGCTGGCACGTGGGTAGAGGCACTTTCGTGTGGAACTTGCCCATGTCTGGCTACCGTGGGCACAGAGCTGCCTCCAAGCCGCCGGGACCAGGCAGTGGGAGCAGCCTGGCCTGGGAGCGGGGGGGGGCACAGAAGACTCCCTTAGCAAGCCAGCCAGCTGCTGAGTGGCTGCCTGGCCACCCTGGCCTGCCCACCCACTGGCCCACTTTCAGCCCTAAAGACCCAGGCCACAGTGGGCATTAACCAACCCACTGCTTTTGTGCCCTGCCCTGGGACAGGGACTAGGGTCCACGTTGTGTAGATGGGGAGTCTGAGGCCCAGTCCCTTTATCAGTGAGTTTGGTGGCACTTCTGTGCTGGCTGATTTTAGGGGCCCAGAAATTTGGGGGACCATCCCTCTGACAGAATTTCTCCCCAGTCCCACCAGTGGCCCTGGCCCATTGAAGAACCATGAACAGGGAAGGGTAGGAGGAAAGGGAGTGTTTGTAAGACAAGAAAACTTTCCTTTCTTTAGTAATATTCTGTAGTCACTCCAACAAGACCCCACAGCGCCCCTTCCAGCGACAGCATCAAGTCCTCGGGATGAGGGGGAGGGCACACATGACTGTCTGTACAGAGCCTCCCGGCAGGGCTTCCCACCCCTCCTTCCTTGCTCTTCCCCAATGCTTGACCCCTGCCCCAAGCTGACCCCTTCACCTAAGCCTGTCTCCCCCACTGGTGGGAGGGGCTGCACCAGCTCAAGGACTTGGCTCAAAACAAGGGGCTGGGCAGGTGGTGGGTGATGATCCTCCCAGGGCATCCTGCCGTAAGCCGTGAGGTAGGGGGTGAGCGTGGGCTCCCTCTGGAGGCAGGCAGACCCGGGTCTGCCAGCTCTGGGCCCTCCCATCAGCTGGTGCCTGGGGCCGTCAGTGAGCACCCCTGCTGTCTATCCTCTTCTGCTCAGACACTGACGGCAGGGGTGCTCACTGCAAATGCAGTCCCAGGGGGAGCCAGTGGGGATGGGGTGGGGGTCATGGGGAGGGTTGGGGGGATGCCCGCTGCGGCTAACTGGCCAGCCCCGTGGCCAGGCCCTTCTCCAGCCTTCAGAGCCAGCCTCCCAGTGCTTCCAGGGCTGTGGTTCATCCCCCCACCTTCCAGATAGGAAGTGAAAGCCCTTTCCCTTGCCTGGAATGCAGGGCCTGAAGGTCCTCTGGGGCCTCCTTCACCCCCTCTGGGATTCCAGGCTCCTGGGAGGCACCTCAGTCCCACCCCATTTGGCCTCTCCCCTGAACCTCTCCACTCTGGGTGGGGGCACCTCCTGGGTGGCTATGGAGAGCATCTTTTTACCCAGAGCCCACCAGGCTCCCACCACTGCCTGCAGAGCAGCCCCACAGACGGTCCTGAGCCCAGCACAGCCACCAAGGACTCCAGCAGCTTGTGCCTGCTCCCTCCCTGTGATGGCGCGTTCCTCAGGTTGAGGGCGCTGGGGGCGCTGCCCATCCATCCTGGAGGCCTGGGCAGTGCTCTCCTGCCCGGGGAACAGGCCCCTATCTTGGCCTGGCTTGGGGGAGCAAGGCTCTGGGAGCCAGAATGAGAACATCTCCCTGTGCGGTCTGGCATCTGCTGGAACCTAAAATGCTCAGAGGAAACACCCTTGCCCAGGTGGAATGATGGCTTTTCCAGGCGATTTCCTGCAGACAGGCAGAGGCAGCGGGGGTGGGGCTGGCCCGGTGGGTGCACTGCATCTGAGGAAGGGTACCTGGCCCCGTGGGCAGTGGGGAACTATTGATGGTTACAGCCAGAGATGCCACATTTCCACAGGCTTCATGATGTCGGCAAGGGGGCTCAGTATCCACACAGCAGGGCCCTGTGGTGACCAACGGCATTGCCTCCCGGCCACGTGAGGGGGCTGCGCAGCAGTCTTCTCCAGGCACCTGGGGCTGGTCAGGCCCCTGCACAGGGCAGGGAGTGTGGGGTCTTGTGACTTTAGGGCCTGAGGCAAGGTCGGCAGTGGCAGAGGATGAGGCCAGACACATGCGCAGGTAGACAGATGTTTTCTGGCAGGGTGGGGGTGGGTGGATGGCATCAGCCCCCTTGTCACCTCCCTGGCGCAGCCCTTTGCAGCCTCCAGCACCTGTGTCCAGGTCAAGCCTGTCCCTGAAGGCTGCCACAGTGCAGGCACAGCTCTGTTCCATCACCTCAGCAGACCCAGGGACACAGCAGAATGGAGCTGCCCTGGCCAGCCGCACCTAGGCAGCAGCTCTCTTTGTAGCCTGGAGGGCATGGTGGTGGGCTCAGGGTGGCCGGGGTGCACGTGCAGATTGGGTGGGGCTCAGGGTTCACCCTCTTCACCAACCCCTCACTTAGTCACCCCCACACACACCCGTGCATGTAAGCTCCAGCAGACCCACAGGTGGCACACGCCCTCCCCTTCTCTGGGTGACACTCAAGTGCAGACTAGAACTGTTGGGGTGGCTGGTGGGCTGGGGCCTGAGAAGGAAGCAGGCAGCAGCCAGATGTCAACCTGGGTGCCACAGCCACCTGCCCAGCACAGCTCTGGGCAGTGCCCCTGCCTCTGGTCTGCTGGTTGAAGCTGGGCAGGGCAGGACTTTGGTGGCCCCTGTGTCGCCCGCCTCCCTCTCACCCCTCTCCACCCACACAGTCCCAGGGACCCAGCAGGCCTGGGTGGCATGCACATCAGAGTTCAGGTCAGGTTGCTAGGTGGGGCCAGACACCCTGGGCTAAGGCTGAGGGACAGCGCCCAGCGTCTGTGACTTGGCAGCCGTGGGACACACATCTGCAGGCGAGCTCCCAGGCCATGCCAGACATCAAGTCCTGCTCCTGCCGCCCTTGGCCCAGCCTGAATGCCTGGCACGGCCCCTCCATGTTCTCAGAAGCTGCCAATGTGTCTTGTTTGGCTGTGGCCTGGGCCCCCCCCCCGCTCAGAGGACTGCACTGGCTTTCAGAGGCCCAGACAAGGAGGGCCCTATTGGGTCAGCGGTCCAGGCTCCAGGAAGCCCAGCTCTACCCTTGCTCATACCCGTGGGCGCCAGGCCTCCCCGCTATTCCCACATCTTTCCTTTGCTCTGAGGAGGTGGGGCCTAGCGAGCTCAAAGCACACTGTGATGGGGCTGAAGACCCTGCCTGAAATCCTTGGTGACACACCCAGGAAGGCCAGTGAAGGGAAACTGAGGCCCAGAACCCTGGTAGTGTGGGGAGATCGGGTTTGAGGAGGAGGTTTGCCATGGGTCTCACAGTATCTGTCCATGGGGGCTCCAACTTCCCAGGCCTTGGCCCCACCTGCCTTCTGTGTGTGTGCACGCACACACAGGTGGAGTCCCAGTGTGAGGTGGTGTGAGAAGGCAGGCACAGTAGCCCCTGACCCGGAACAGCAGCAGCCTTGGGCCCCTCCCCCAGGCTTTCTGCATCATTGCCCACGTAGAGCCACACTCTGTGGGGACCGCCCTGGCTGAGGGGCACAGCTAAGCCCTAAAAGGTCAGGGCCTGGAGTTGCCTGAGCTAGGCTCCAAGTGTCAAGCTGAGTGACTTCAGGAAAGTTGGTTCCTCTCTCCAGGTCTCAGTTTTCTCTTCCATAAATGGGGAGACCAGTTGTGCTGGACACAGGAGGGCCTTCTTGTGGGCTGCCCCCTCAAGGCCCCTCCCTGGCTCCTTTTGGCTTTGTGGGGGTCTCTTGCAGCCTCCTGTGGGCTTGGTGTCTGGCCGGCCCACTCTCCTCTGCACAGTTCTGGCCTCTGAGTCTCATGCCAGTTCCCCATGGGAAATGAGATCTGGGCTGGGAGGCCTGCCTGGCCCCCACTCTACCAGCTGGCCTACTGCTGGGCCCAGCCAGGAGCTGGGAAACACCCATCAAACCTTGTCCTGTGCCTCTGTGTCGAGGCCCTAGTGTAGGGCCCCCAAGTCCCCAGCCTGCCTCCCCGACTCGGAGTGAGCCTGTGCTAGAGCCAAATGCCCCTCCCTCAGCCTCATTGCAGCGCCCAGATGCAGCGAAGTCATGCACATGGCTGCTCTGAGCTGGCTCACGTCCTCTAGTGCCCCTCTTACCCCAGGGTAAGAGCCCACTTGGAGCCCCAGGGGCCAGTCTCACCCTCGTTGGCCTTCCCAGTACCTGTCCATCCTCTTCCCTGGCAGAAGGGCCAGATTCCAGGGCAGAGGTACCCTGTGGAGACTCCTGGGCCTGGCCAGACCACCCCATCCACTCCCACCTGCCCAGGTGGACCGTGGATCCCAGAGCCTTCCAAGACTCCCACTGGGCATGCCAGAGCTGACTCATCCCCACTGCGAGGTAGCAGCTCCCCCTCCTTCATTCTCCCTTTCCTGCTCTCTCCTACCGCTCCTCCCCCTCACAGTCCCGGGTGCCCTGGGGCCCCTGGGTAAGGGCCCTGAGCAGCGGCAGCAGGCGCAGCAGGCCTAGGCCCACCCTGCTCTGCCCTGGGGGTTGCAAACTCAGGGGGAAGAAGAGGGGACACTCTCTCCAGGTAGGCAGGCATGGGGCCTTCTCCCTACTCTGTACCAAGGACTTTTGGGGGCTCCCTTGGGCCCTGCTGGGCTGGCCCAGGACTGGCAGGACCTGGGGTGTGATCACAGGGTCGGAGGCTTGAAGGAGCCAGGGAGGTTGGATGCTTTCCACGCATCGGGGACCCTCACTTCGCTGTGTGACCTGGGCCAGGCAGGCAGCCTCTCTGAGCCTGTCACTGGTGGCCATGCTCTCAAGAGGACTATCGGGGCCTGTCCTGGGCTGGCCACGTGGGCCCGCGAAGCATACCACAGCTCTGGCTGCCCCATTCCCACCGCCAGCAGGTGCAGTTCTGTCCTCAGGGATGGTGGGGGCCAGGGTAGGTCAAATGATCTTGCTCAGGAGGTGCCCAAGAGTTAAGGAGTGGATGGCAAGCCAGGGACTGATAAGAACCCAAGGTGCAGGGCAGTCGTGCCTGGCCCTGGAGGTGGGGGGATTGCAGAGCAGTGGCCCCTGGCAGCCGGCCTGGCCCCACATCAGCTGGGCCTGCCTGGGAGAGCAGCAGGCAGGAGTGGCTCTGAAGCCCTCACCCCCCCAGGGCCTCCTTCCACCTTCACTGGCCACAGTCAGGCTCAGGCGCTCACCCTGCCCCACTGAGGCCCCAAAGAGCCCTTCCCCTGGCCAGTGTGGTCCCCAAGTGAGGACCTCTCTAGGGTAAGTCCGGTTTGGTCTGCAGGAGGCCCCTGGGACCCAGCTGGGCTCCCTACCCACAGATGCACCCAGGGCAACCCCAGACACTGGGAGGCAAGCAGGGTAGGCATGCTTATTCCTTTATAACAGACAGGAAAATGAGGCTGGCTAGGAATTGTCCGGACATCCAGGTAGCCTGGGTGGTAGGACAGGCAGGGGCTCAGGGCTGTTCCGTACAACACCTTCCTGCAGAGGAGTCCCTGGATGGGGGGCGGCCTCTACTGGAGGACGAAGGAGGCAAGCAGATGTGGGCGCAGGGTGGGGGCAGGTCAGGCGGGGCAGCTTGCCCCTCACCCTCACCCTGCTGCCTGGCCTGGGGGCGTCCAGACAAGCCTGACCCTGCCTGCCACCCTGGCGGCAGCCTGCTTCCCTGGCATGGCCTCTCTAGGGGGCCAGGTCATGGGCAGAAGGGAGGCAGGGGCAGAATGGGAGCCCTAGGGCTCTGCCAGCCAAGCCAGGGGAAAGCCTGTGAGTCAGGGGGGTATGCCAAGGCCCTGGGGAGCAGTGAGGGTGGGGGCCGGGGGCCATGCCCCCTTTATCCTGACAGTTTAGTCCATGGCCAGAGAGGCCACCCCTCTCCCTGTCTGCCTTGCCTCCAGGGCTGGCACAGGTCTTGGCCCAGCATGCCCAGCCTGGTGTCTTGGCCTCAGATTTTTAGAAAACTGTGGGTGTGCTGCAGCAGTTCCCGTCCCCCATAGCGCAAGCCTGACCATGCCCACATTGTCCTGAGCATGAGGGATTGGTCCAGGCCCCAGTGATACCTTCAGAGCCTGTTGGGGGCAGATGCTGGGCTTTCCCACTGGCCTTGCTGACCCCCAGGCAGGCTGTGGGCTGACGCAGTGGTGGACGTTGGGCAGTGGGAGGAGCGCTGAGACCCACTAACCGGGAAGACACAGCCCGGCCCACCAGAACCAAGTACTGTCTGAGAGTGGAGGCGAGTGGAAGGAGGTGCCTCTTGGCCACCCACGCCATTCCTCCCCTCCCTCCCTCCCTGCTGCTACTGCCCAGGGGTTCTGGCTATCTCCAGTGAGGGATGGGGGTCCCAGAGTGAACATATACCAGAACTCAGTCCCTGGCATTCGGACGGTGGCCAGGAGAGGGGCAAAAGGGTGGGTACAGGTGCTGGCTGGGCCCTCCTGATGGCCCCTCCTCTTCCTGGCCTCCCAGGCACACCCAACATGTGGTCCCTGTGGCTCCTTGCGCCCCTGCTGGCCCTGAGCCAGGCACTGCCCTTTGAGCAGAAGGGCTTCTGGGACTTCACCCTGGACGATGGGCTGCCCGTGTTGAACGATGAGGAGGCATCAGGTGCCGACACGACCTCAGGTGTCCCAGACCTGGACTCTCTCACACCCACCTTCAGCGCCATGTGTCCTTTTGGATGCCACTGCCACCTGCGGGTCGTACAGTGCTCCGACCTGGGTCAGTCCCGAGGCTGGGGCGGGAGCGGTGCGTGGAAGTGCAGGCCTAGCCTAAGTGTCCCTACCAAGGGGGTACATGCCTGAGCTGTGGGATGGGCATGGGGGGTATAGGGTGACACCACGCAGGCTTGGGGGTCCTGGTTTCAGTGTGGGAGGTGTCCACTTGTCTGGCTGCAAGCAAGTGGGGAGCAAGAGCAGCCTCCATCTGTCACTTCTAAAGCTTCCACCTGTGTGTGGCAGAGTCTGTGTGCATGCATGTCCCTATGTGCTGAGCCACTCAGGGGCAGGGGCCGGGGCTCACACAGGTGATGGTGGCGCTGGCCCCCAGGTCTGAAGGCTGTGCCCAAGGAGATCTCCCCTGACACCACACTGCTGGACCTGCAGAACAATGACATCTCTGAGCTCCGAAAGGATGACTTCAAAGGCCTCCAGCACCTCTACGTAAGCCCGCTCTGGCCCTTCCAAGGGGTGAGGGGTGCGCAGTCTGCAGCGGCAAAGTTGGGGCAAAGTGGGTGTGTGCACCTTGTGTGCAATGCAAGAGGGGACTGGAGACCCATGGCATTCTGAGAGAAGTCTGGAGGCAGGCCTGGTGGCAACACCCAGGTCATAGGTCACATGTGTGGGTGTCAGCAGCCGTAAGTGCAGGACAGGATCACTCAGCCCAACTCCCTTTTTGGCTGAAAACATTTCATCTTATTGTTTGCTCCCAGCAACATAGGAAGAAAAGATTTCATTGTAGCCAGGGTGCAGGTAGGGAAAGTGAGGCACGGGGCAGCAAGGAGCTGTGCTGAGCAGTAGCAGCACTGGCCTCTGCCTGTGACACAGACGGATCTCCTCGAGATGCAGACATCCCTAGCTCAGGTGACAGAAGACGGAGGGAGAGGAGAGGGCAGGGCGGGCTGAGCACGGGTGCCGTCACCTCCACTGCCGTTCTGCCTCAGGCCCTCGTCCTGGTGAACAACAAGATTTCCAAGATCCATGAGAAGGCCTTCAGCCCCCTGAGGAAGCTGCAGAAGCTCTACATCTCTAAGAACCACCTGGTGGAGATCCCTCCCAACCTGCCTGGCTCCCTGGTGGAGCTCCGCATCCATGACAACCGCATCCGCAAGGTGCCCAAGGGTGTGTTCAGCGGGCTGCGCAACATGAACTGCATTGGTGAGTGCGGCCCAGCCCCTGGCACTTCTCGTCTCCACTGCAGCCCCCACGCTGGAGGGGCTCAGGGAGAGAGGCCTCTTCCGGCTGGAGCAGCTGCGGGCTGGGCCATCCAGCCCAACCACAGACAGTCCCAGTGGGTCACACAGAACATTCTGGAGCCCATCTAGGAGCAGGCCCTTGAGCAGCCAGGGCAAGGTGAAGAGAAACCAGGACAGCACAGAGAGATGGAAGGGAATGGGCTGGCGCAACCCACCGGGACCAGCAGGGGCTGGGCAGGCTGCCGGGAGGCCTGCCTTGGCATCTGGCTCACCTCCCTTTTTCCCCCTGCCCTCTGAGGTCAATGCCAGGACCCTTGGAAGCCTCATGGTCTTGAACAACTAGGAATGTGCAGTTAGCCTGAGACATTAGTGGAACTGCTTTTAGGGGGCAGTGGGGGAACAGGAAGCTATCAGGGCCCTTCAGGCCAGCCGAGCCGGGAAGCCAACAGGCCCCAGGGGTGTGCAGGCAGCTGCCAGCCTGTGGCTCTACGGCTGAGAGGGTCTCTCTCCTAGAGATGGGTGGGAACCCCCTGGAGAACAGTGGCTTTGAACCTGGAGCTTTCGACGGCCTGAAGCTCAATTATCTGCGCATCTCTGAGGCCAAACTCACTGGCATCCCCAAAGGTAAGGAGGCAGCCCTTCCCTGCTGCCTGGCCTCCAGCGCACAGATGGACCAGCAGGGGGCCCTGGGGGAAAGTCCGTGCTGGAGCAGTGAAAGGGAGCCATCCCGAGCCACCAGTCTACTCAGGGAGGGCTTCAGCAGCCCCCTCCCCACACCGGGGGCACAGATAGGGCCTCTCTTCCTGCCCCCCTCCACAGCACCAGCTCACACATGGCCTCCCCTCCCACATTCCACTCAGTGCACCCTCTTTTCCTGTCAGACCTACCTGAGACCCTGAATGAACTCCATCTGGACCACAACAAAATCCAGGCGATTGAGCTGGAGGACCTGCTCCGATACTCCAAGCTGTACAGGTGGGCTGCGGTGTGAGGAGGGCGCCCATGCCCTCCCAGTGCCGTGTGGCCTGTGGGCTCCACCCCACCATCCTCTCCTCCTTTGGCCTGTCAGTACATCCCATCTGCCCCTCTGCAGGCTGGGCCTGGGCCACAACCACATTCGCATGATAGAGAACGGGAGCCTGAGCTTTCTGCCTACCCTGCGGGAGCTGCACTTAGACAATAACAAGCTGTCCAGGGTGCCTGCCGGCCTTCCCGATCTCAGGCTCCTCCAGGTGAGAGCTGAGGGCAACCCCCAGCGCCAGGTCCTCTAAGACTGGGGGAGGGAAGTAGTCCCTGTCCCCTTGGCAGTTCCTGGGCCCTCTGCCCTTCCTCCGACCTAGCTCGGGGAGCCTTGGTGGCGAGCGGAGCAGGACCAGCATGCTCTGGCCATTTGCTCCTGCTCTCTCTGCCTCTGCCTCCTCATCTGGAAAGAAGCACTCACAAGGTGCCAGTTCAGTGCCAACACTCTGTGCTGAGGAAGAGGAGAAGGAGCATGGGACTCCACTTGGGGACAGTGAGAATGGCAGGACAAGGGTAGAGAGAGGTTGTGAAGGATGAGCAGGAGTTGGCCTGGTTGATATCAGAGCTGAAGTTCTCCTCGGTGGTGGGACACCAGAAATGTGTGGCAGGGCCTGGACGTTGGAGACTGGTCTGGGCATGGGTGTGTTCAGATTTGTGGCAAGGTAAGGACGGCCCAGGGCTGAAAGTGGGCTGATGAGGGGTGCAGGGCCTTGTCTGGGGTTCTCTCAGGGGCCCCTTTCCTTGCCTTGGCTTCCGGTCACATGTGTGAACTTGTCCTTGCCAAGCCCTGCTCTGGGCCTCAGTGTCTTCCTCAAACCTATTAACACATGCCAGGGACCCACCATTCCCATGGGCCAAGTCCTGCAGAGTCTGGCATTGGACTCAAGCCTTGCTGAGCATGCCCTCTGGTGGCCAGTGTCCTCTCCACATACAGTGGGCACTGCCACAGTCAGAGAGCTTGGGCCCCCTTATCCACCCTCCTGCACGTTCTTTCTGTCACTCCCCTAGGAGCGAGTTGACTTCAGAGAGTTGAGGGGGGATGCTGCTAGAGGGCATGTGCCCCTGAGGACTAAGAAAAGGAGGTCATCCTGCAGGCTCTTTCTCCTCCAGTGACCCCAGCTTTCTGGAGTGAGAGGCTGCTCCTCTGGGGGTAGCCCTAGAGCCCAAGGAACCCAGAGAGGAGAGCCAGGGACCCTTTGTAAGCCCGAGATGCCATCTTTCCTGCATTGACAACCCCACCTGCCCCGCACGTGCCGCTCACGCCCCCCCTCCACCGCATACCTCACCTGAGCCTCTCATCCCTGCCCCTGGTCACATGCCAGTGCCTTAACCCCAGCCAACACCCACCTAACAACCATGCCCAGGCCCTCAAACAGCCTTGCTAGAATACAATGCAATGAAATGATACCCATGAGGTGGCCTGGGTGGGGCTCAGCCAGGAGGCAGGGCCCGAGCTCTCCATGTTCTGACCTCTGCCCAGCTCACCCAGTCCAGAACAGACTTGGGAAGGGCAGTCAGGGGTGACTGGGCTGCTGGTACTGAGCCTAGGCCCTGTCCCTCTACCCACAGGTGGTCTATCTGCACACCAACAACATCACCAAGGTGGGCGTCAACGACTTCTGCCCAGTGGGCTTTGGGGTCAAGCGGGCCTACTACAATGGTATCAGCCTCTTCAACAACCCTGTGCCCTACTGGGAAGTGCAGCCAGCCACCTTCCGCTGTGTCACCGACCGCCTGGCCATCCAGTTTGGCAACTACAAAAAGTAGAGGCAGCAGCAGATGCTGTGGTGGCCTGGGGGCGGGTGTCTGGGTAGCACAGCCGAGGACCTAAAGAGGGAGGCAGAGTGATGGGTCGAAGCGAGTGCCCAGCTGCACCCAACCCAGCCCCACCCAGGATCCCCAGTCCCCATTTTCTGCCCCCTGATGCCCTTGCCCTGACTCCCAAGCAAACAAATGGGGTAGCAGGCCCAGCCCCCATCACATGCCCCTTGGCTTCAGAGCTGCCCTGCCCCACAGCATAGCATTTAGAGGTGCCTGCATGAAGTTTTCTTCCCGTCCACCTTAAAACTAAATTGTCCAAGGGTTCAATTCAAGGAAAATGGTCTCTGGGCCTCGGGCAGGGGGGTGTGGGGGCTAACAGGGATGGAGTCAGTGGGCCCCGTGAAGCCCGTCCCACCTGCTCTCCACATCTCCCCCCTCCCGTCCTCTAGCTTCCGACACTCCTTGGCCTGGCCTGCTGCCCTTGGCCTCAGACACGTCACCCCCCCCTGGCCCCTGGACCAGTCTTCTCTCTTGGTCTCTCCCTCTTCTTCCCTTTGCTCTCTCACATCCGTGGACTGGCTCTGGTCTGTGTCTCGCTGGGCCTCTGCCTATCCCCTACCCAGACAGGCCGGGAGGTGGGGGGGCAGATGCCTCCCGGCCTGCCCTGCCCAGGCCTTCCCCCAAGCCTGCACAGTCCTGGAGGAGGCAGGCAGGTGGAGGTGCTGCCCAGCCCCTCGCCATGTGCTCCACAATCAAGAGGGACCCAGCATCCCCCCAGAGTCCCCAGCATGCTTTTCATTGTTCCCCTTTCCCCCATGACAGCTACGTCTCCTCTCCCCTCACTTTCCAGCTCCTGGTGTGCTGGGAGTGTCAAGCGATCACACCCAGCTTGAGGAGGGGCTGTGTCTGAGGTCGGTTGTTGTCTTTCAATTAAAGAAACACTGTGCAATATGCCTCTGTGCGCAGCCTTTGGTGGCACTTGGCACCGAGCAGAAAGGAGAACCGCAAGGACCGCTGCGGCTGGCACCCAGGCTCGCTCTCTCTGGGAGCCCACTCAGAGCCCTGGACTTCCCTTTTGCTGCTTTCCCTGCCCTCAGGTGAGGGTCCTTGGCACCCTCAGGTCTGGGGCTGGGAAAGGAAACCCCCGGCAACTAGATGGAAAGCCCCAGACTGGCCCCTTTCCCTGCCTTCTAGGTACTTGGGATGCCCCAGCTGTCCTTAGGCTGGGCTCCTGAAACAGGCCCAGTCGAGGCAGCGCCTGCCTTCCCAGCGTGGGGCATTTGCAAAGCACCTGTCGGCTGCAGAGCACCAGGCTAGACCCCTGCCCGGAGAGGGGAATCTGGAAATCCTAGGGGGCGCTGCCTGCTGGACCTGATGGGGCTTGGGGCCTCAGAAAAATGCTGGTCAGACAGGCAGTCAGAGCTGTGGGCTGCATGCAAGTCAGCGCCAGGGGGCGCACTCCCTGGAGGGAAGGGCCTCAAGGAACAGGGCAGCATACTGTGCGACCCAGTAGGTCAGCTGTGTGCCAGCAGAGCCAAGCCCAGTCTGCAGCGTGCTGGTGCTGCTTCCCGAGAGAGGGTCCAGGGCACAGCCTGGCACACCTGCTCACCAGGGACCCAGGTGTGCCCCAGAAAGGGTAGTCCTTGCCGGGAGGGCAGTCCTCAGAGCAGTCCCCCTCAGGTAGTAAGCCTCCCAGGCTGAGGCGGCAGCCAGGGCCACCGATGGAAGTCCCCCAGAAGGGCTGGCCCAGAAGAGAAGCTGCCTGAAGACGCTGCACGCTGGCTCTGCATACCCAGCTGCATGCCCTTCTGCCTGGCCTGGCACCGGGGTGCCCAGCATCCCCAGGTTTCTCCTTTTGGGGATGGGAGGCGACACAGCATGGTGGCACAGGGATAGAATGTCACCCATCAGCTCATAGCACTATTCTGGGCCATGTGCTCCAAGGCCTGGCAATCTCTGCTGAACTGGGCAGGCTCAGAGCAAGGGCACTGGCCAGGGGCCAGAAGTCAGGGCCTCAGTCAGGTCCCCTCACTGGCCAGGAGGAGGGCAGCTGTCACCAGGGCCTGGAGGAGACAGAAGCATGGAGCCCTCAGGCGTTTCTCTGTGGGCAGGTCCAGGGCACCAGGCCCCACACAGCCCCTTGTGGATCTCTGTTGTCTCTTCCTGTCTCCCTCCTGCCTTCCTGCCCTGTCTTTCCTCTCTGCATCCCTGTCACTCAGGGATGCAGGCACCACAACAAGCAGGGACAAGTGTAATAATGCTGGTAGGTGCAAAGGAGACCCCCGTGGCTGGACCACAGGGAAGGCGTCCTGTGGGCCTGGCGGGTCACCCGGCACATTAGGGGATAGTGCCCTGGAGGCGGGATCCTCACTGCGCCCAGACCACGGGCTATGAGGCACCCAGGGGACCTCTCAGGCCACATGGCAGGAGCCCAGGTAGGTGAACAGGGCCATGCCTGGCAAGGGCTTGTGGGTCGTGGTTGGAAAGGAGGGCTCCACACACAGAGCAGCTGGTCAAAGACGATCACTTAGTGTCACTCTGCTACCAAGTGTGCTGCAGTCTATTAGATAATAATAATAATACTAAAGAGTTGAGACTGATTGGGCTTTAAAAAAGCCCGATGGCAACATCAAGGTTATCCCCACCAGCTGACAGCCGCCCCGGGGCGGTTTCATGTACACTTTATGCAATGAAGAGGCCCTCCTCGTGGAGTTCAGAGCCTGGCTGAGGTCACGGGAATCCTGGGGTGGCAGAGCTGTGCGGCCAGTCCACTTGGGACTATGGCCAGTGGATAGGTTGGGCGACCCCAGTCAGAAGGCCTTGGCAACAGTAGGAAGGTGGCAGGAAAGACGGGGGAGGGGTTGAGTAGGAACCCCTGGACCTGAGGACAGATGGCACGTGTGGCAAGAGGTAAGAAGTGGGCAGGGTGAGGGTGCAGGGCCCCCCTGCCTGAGGCCCCTGGAGGGAAGGGAAAGGGCCACAAGGAAAGCCGCCTGAAGGTCAGGGCCAGTGGGGGCACACAGGCGTGCTCACACACACACACACTCAAGTCAGCGCCAGGGGGCACGCTCCCTGGAGGGAAGGGCGTCAAGGAACAGGGCTGCGTCTGGTGTGCACCTGCACACCCGCATACAAGGCAGGGCAAGTCACGGGACAGCTCCCTCTGGGAGGGCTGTCCCGTGGAAGGTGTAGCCGCCACGGAGCGGACTCTGAATGACACAGGCTGGAGCCGGGGACATTTCTGAGTATTTATTGCAGGTCAGGTGCCTTCTGGATGTGGTGGGGCCCAGCTGGAGCCTAAGCTGATACCACCACTTGGGTTTAGACGAGCTGGGGCTTGTCAGAGGGGCAGCCAGCCAGGCATCCACAGGCCACGGCCAGGGTTGGGGGCAGGGAACCTCAGAAGGACAGCCCCTCCTTGAAGAGCCTGAGGGCACGGGGCGGTGGCTGCTCTAAGAACCTGGTCCCCTTGCGGGCTCTAGGCCCTGCCGCAGTGGGTTCCAGGCTCCATTCTTGGGAGAGAGCAGAGGCAAAGCCGTGTGCCCTCTGGACATGTGGGGCCTGGGTGCCCTGCCCCCCACTGCACGTGGGTAGCCAGGGCAGGGCTTAGGAGGGCCCAGGGGCTGAGCTGGCCCCAGAGGCTGGAGCCAGGCTGGCAGAAGTAGCTGTGCTCAAAAGACCACCTCCCCACAGGCAGTCCCCAGGAAGCAGTTCCCCAGCATGGAAAGGGTGACCCCGGCTCTCTGGAACTTCCAGGGTGGGGTCTATTGAGGCCGAGCCCCTGGGGAGCCTGGGGCAAGGTGTGCTGTGGGCAGGGGCTTCTCCAGAGCCAGGTCAGGCGGTGTGAGTCTCCTGGAGCTGCCTGCCACAGCAAAGGACCACAAGCAGGTGGCTTCAAACAGAAATTGATTCACAGTTCCAGAGGCCATAAGTCCACAATCAAGGTGTCAGCAGGGCAATGCTTCTTCCAAACACTGTAGGAGGCGCTCCTTCCTGCCACTCCCAGCATCACTGTCCCCAGAGGAGGCTGTGACAGCCACAGCAAGAGCGGCTGGAGGGAAACCGGGCAAGCCAGGAGGGGCGGCAGCTGTGGGGCCCGCGGACAGGAGGGGCCTGGTGACAGGTGGCCAAGGACCTAGGAAAGGAAGCATTCCAGGAGTGGGGGAGGAGACGGAGGACTGCGGGCAGAGGTCACGAGGCAAAGGAGGGTGGGTTCTGCAGCTGGACGGGCACAGGACTGAGAGCAGGCCTCTCATTCTTGGCTTTATTCCTTAGGTTGAGAGCACTTTTGAGGTGGTCCCGAGAGGATACATGACAATGTAGGAGGGAAGGGCAGTGACCCAGGTCTGAGGCCTGTGAGGAGGTACTGCGGAGACCAGGTATGGGGCCAGAGGACAGGGACGGGCAGAGCGCAGGGAAGCGGGAGGTCTGGGCCACTAAGCCAGGCACCTTCCTCAGCCTGGCCCCCGGCCACTGGCCTCCCCGGGGCGGCTCCCTAAGCATTTCTAGTACAGAGGGCTGGACATAAGGAAGAGCTTCCTAGCAAAGCTCTCCCCACCGACCTCTGTACAGATGGAGAAACCAAGATGGCTGGCCGCTTAGCAAGGGCTGCCGGTGACACTAGCAGTTTGCCCGGCACCCAGCCTCCCTCACTCTCAGGCTTGGGCTCTCCTCCTTCTCAGAGCCACAGACAAGGACCAACAATGACTTGCACCACAAAAAGGAGGCCATTCCTTCCCTTCCTGGAGCCCATTAACTGCTTGGGGATTGCCATTTGCTAGTGACTGGGGACTTCCATGGCACCCTGAAGGGCTGTGGCTTTGTCCCTTCAGGCCTCCTGAAGACCACATAACTTGTCCCTTGGCTGCCTGACCTTGGCTGCAGTGGGCCCCATCACAAAGGGGTGTGGCACAGGCGACTCTTACTTGGGCTAACCCTGGACAGTGCCCCCCAGCCCCAGTGTGGGTGGGGGGAGACGAAGGGGTAGCAGTGGGTGTTCCCTGCCTCAGATTTTCTCTCCTTGATGTGCTTCCTCCCTGGGTGTTTGAGAACACCTCCAGCTCTGAGCTCTACGGGCAGGAGAGACCTCACATGCTGGAGCCTGTGCCCCCAGGTGCACAACAGCCATCAGTAAAATGAACATGCCCCCAGGGGCAATTGGCATGCCCCCCAGCCCCTGAGGGAGGGCAGTGACAGTCCCCTCTCTGCTCTTCAGCCACTCACACGCCTTCCTGTGTGGGTCTGTCCCAACCCACTCAGCAGCCATTTCTTCCCCACCCCTGTCTCACCAGAGCTGCCGACACATGTCTGCTAAGAGGCTGATGGCTAACAGAGCACCGAGCCCATGATAGGTGCTCAGGAAATCAGGGGCTCGCTTGGACTTTCATCTTGCCTATTCCAGGCACAGAGCAGCAGGCGGCCCCCTCCCCATGCCTCAGACACCCAGGAACAGTGGCTGGGGCTGAAGTGGAAGGAGAGAGTACTGGAGGGGGCACGTGTGTGTGTGTGTGTGTATGTGTGTGAGAGAGAGAGAGAAAGAGAGAGCACGTGTGAATGGCTGTGTGAGTTTGTGTGGAGTTACGGGAGAGTGTGAGATTGTGTGTGACAGAGTATGACTGCATAACTGAGTGGATAAATGTGGGTGTGAGTGTGAATGTATGTGAATAACTGTGTAAGTGTGGATTGTGTGACTGTGTGTGTGTGAATAACTCTGAGTGTGTACAAGTGTGTGTGAGTATGTGACTGTGAGCGATTGGATGTGTGTGATGGTGTGTGAGTAACTGAGTGTGTGTGACTATATAACGTGTGAGCATGAGAGCTATTCAAGTGAGTGTATGAGCTGAACAAGCCTGTGTGGGTGTGACTGAGTGTATGATTGAGCATGCACAAGTGTGCATGAGTGTGTGTGAGCATGTGTGAGCTTCTGTGTGAATGTGCATGAGTGAGAATGTGT